TGGGGGAGGGGGGGGGGCATTTTTGCCACTAAGACGTCCTCTGGTTCTCGACACGTATATCATCTGCATATTGCCTGCGCAGAAGCGGGTATAGTAAGAGCAGGCAAACAAGAGATATTCGAATCCAACTATCGCGACCGCGCTAGCCCTCTATGCGGCCTGCGGCGTTGAGCAAAATATATCTGATAGGCAGTGTCTACATGCTTTATTAGACAGAATTGAAGGTCTTGTCTGAGTCATAGGGTGTGACGCCGTGGCGCGCATGTCGTTCAGGATTTATTGGAGATATCAAGTTATACCAACATCCCAACACTACATTAACGCTAAAGAAGAAACAGTCAGCCCTCTGATTACTCTCTTCCATCCGAAATGGAGAATCAACTTGCGCCTATTTCTTCAAATAGTACTTCTAAAAGTATTGTCTAAAAGTATACTCTGACGCTGCTCTCGGGGCACAATAAACCGTTGTATCAATACTTTTTGTGCCATGTGGCGACATGGACAGACGGGCATGGAAATCATACCGACACTCAGAATCCGGCCACCTATTGGTCCATCCAGCTAAACCTGACAAAGATAGGAAATGCGCACTACCTTGTCGCGCGCTGCTGCATTTTAAAAGGGTGATCGGGGTGTTCACACTGTGATGTGATACCATCTGCCGTGTCGCATTCCGTCAAAGATTCATTGCATCGACGAAGCCGTAATGAGAACCAAAAAAGAAACGACCTGCTGTCCAGCCCGCAGAGTATGCATTCTGGGCCCCGCCTTCTCGTTCGCCGTTTCTCGTTGCGGCCGCTCCTTCCTTTTTGCGAAACCCCAGCCGAGGGCCCGCTTCTCCATATTCTCCTCTCTTCACCTCCCCGTATTGCGGTGCGATTCAAGAGATTGACGAACACAGCACTCCGGTCATCCAAGTCTGCACGCGGAGCTCATGGTGGATAGCACAAGGGTCCAGTGGTTTGGGGAGACTCGTCCTGGAGTCGACTTGACGCCACCGCGGCTCCGACCGCCCTGCGCCGGTCAGGGGCCTCGACGCCATCATCAGCTATTAACAAAGAGTAACCCCAGTGTCCAACAACATGCGGCATCATGAATGACACAAATCGACAAACGGCGAGTTGGTACTCCGAATTTTCACTTATATGCAGTTACAACAACAATGTCTCTGGGGCGACAAGGGTGCCAGGGTCTTGTAGTGGCCTCTTTCGATTGCGACAGTCACCTCACCACAGCAAATCCACCATGTCGAATCTCAACGGGGAGAAGATTGAGGACAGCAGAGGCCAAGAGAACGGCCAAAAGCCTGCTATTAGGACAGCTCTTGAGCGCAAATCCTTCTTCCAGGCCGCTCTGCCTGTTTTGCTTGCGGCGCAGGACTGTTCTCTGACGGCTGCATTAATAACGTATGCATCGCTGAAGGAGCAGTAATTGCTGCGCCTTGCAAAGCAGAAGACCGAATCGGGATTGCTAATATCGGAGATCCTATAGGTCATTGGGTCAGTCAACACTGTGTGCTCAAGCTCCAGTACAAGACCGTCTACACCCCGTCCCGGGCGGATTTTCCCAGCTCTGCTGGGACTGCTGTGAATAATCAGGCCAGAGTTGTAATCTCTCGATGCAGCAGTGGAGCCGAGCAAGATGAACTCCGTATGAACCTACTCCGTACTCTGCTATCGTGACTTGACGGACATGTGAGGCTGTCATTCAAGATTCGCTAACTTGTTCTATTTCACCGTGGTTTTGTGACCTTCACAAGAGCCCCAGACTAAAAGTTATATCTTCGGACATTGTCGCCGTATCTGGCCGTCATTAGCTCCCCTGGTGCTTATACTTGGCTTATGAATGCTGAGAAGTACATGGCATAAGCATATTAGCTTGACCCCAGTACAAGCAAAGAACGGCACCAGAATCAGCAAATATGTACCAATATGTCGCCTCCAGCGCCAGACACCCCAAATCCACACACAGCCCCTTCATAACCGACATTGTTTCACGGCATGCTTTTTTCTGCACATAATATACCAATCCAAGGAAGTCGACACTGCGCGATATATAATGTCGCATCACTAGTTATCCCAGCACTTAAGGCCCCAAGTCGAAAGTATCTCCAGCCATCCAGAGAACCCACCCCCGAACCCCGTCCTTTTCCCGAGAATAGAAACGCAAATTTCCATTTCCTCGCAAGACAAGAGTCTACCCAGCCATATATCACGCACTAATATCACGGGCCGTGGCGGGAGACAAGGTTACGCCGTCGTAGCGCCGTATGCATGGGTCGGGAGATGTCGGCCGGAGTGCATGAGTTCGATGTACCACTGAGCCTAGGTATTAATTTAAATGGGGGTTGAAATGGGTTGCATGTGCGCATGAGGAATCGGTGTATTGGATGTGAATTGGTGAGTGGTGTTGACTGTTAGATGGCTGGGATGACAGCAGCTGCTCTTTTTGAACTGACGATGTGATGTGTTGAGTGTATATTGTATCAGGTAAGGTTCCGTAACAGTAAGCAGGAGGATCCTTTGTGTTCAAAACAAAACATTTAGTAGGATCTTGTTTCCAAAGGGGGTACGCCCAGTGTAGACTATTGTCAAGACTGTGTCCGTCGTTGCGTCGCCCTACCTAAACTACTTTTCTCGATTTCTGTGTGTTTGGAAAAGGCCACGTTAAGATGAGGTTGATGAGGATATCAATCTTAGATACAAGCACAATACCAGAGTTTGCTGGTTTCTCGAGCCAGGGACCTACTCATCGTTGACAATTCACCATCTTCATGGAAAAGTAACACTAGCCATTACATAAACTCGCGTCTTCACGCAATTTTATTCCAGTCATGGCCATTTGGAAAGCCATGAATGTCCACATGCAACGTCATCATACGCACAGAGTGGAAATGACCCAGATACTTGCCCTGCTTACAGTGTTTGAGTGTGACAAGGGCTCATTAGAGGGCTTAAAGCAAAAGGGCCCAATTCAATGATAATCTTGTAGGATGTCAAAGGTCCTTGGTTTTCCCAAGCAGTAAGGCGAGGGGGGACCATCTTATATACATGAAAGGAACGGCCGGTGCCTAGTGTGCTCCATAGTTCTCGTGATCTCCTTGTGTAACAAAGGGCTTCTGATCCTTGCTTGACCCAATCCGTGTGACATTGAGTCTTGATGTCTTGAGCACGAACGACAGACAGACATGATGGTTGCTGGCCTTCACAAGAAATCCGCGTGGTCTCATGAACTTCCTCGTCACAATGCCAGTATCTCCACCGACACGCCAACAGTTACCATAGACTACCGTACCATATACCAATGAGCAGATTAATACACTCAGACCCATTATATTCCGTCCGCATACTAGCAGAAGCAATATCTCAATGTGGTAACGAGGATATCAATGCACGAGCCAGGTCTCCGCTCTAATAACATTTAGTATGCCAAAGCAGACAACTATATCAGAATGTGGACCAAATCATCTAGACACTGCATCCAGTCCCTGCATACGCACACGTTCCGAGGTGGGAGTGGTACGATGGAGCGCCTAAATAGGATACCTGAGTATACTCACACGGCGTCTCCATTTATGACATTAACGAGAAAAGGGACGGGCGTGGCTTTCTAGATTGAGGAGGAGACGCAGGTATGCTTGGTACGGGAATGCCAAACGCCGTTCCTCAAGGGTGTACCCTTTGGCCCTTGAACTGCTAATTCTGCCCCAAAATATCATTCATGGGTTGCGACATTGTACGTTGCGACATTGTACGTCGCCAGGAACACCTGGCTACTCCTTTCACGTGGTTAGTTTCTCGCCGCAGATGTGCTTGAACCATATTTTATTGCCTTGGTTAGTCACAATCATTTTAGTTGTCCCCGTTCACATTACGTCCATCCGTCAAAATCAAAATAATTAGTACACCCTGGGCTTAAATCTTGGAGTACTTCTTGAAGGCTCCAATAGGACCACCGGTGGAACTGTCGTGTCCCCCACCATTGCCAGCCTCATCAAGTTCCTTCAAGATCTTCTCGGCCAACACCTTGCCCAGCTCGACACCCCACTGATCAAAGCTGTTGACGTCCCAGATGGCATCTTCGGTGAAGGCAAGGTGCTCGTAGTTTTGCCTTGGTTTCTTGATTCATAAAAGTTTGATGCCGTCATGGTCCAAGTAGTCAAGTATCATGCTTGCGAGCATTTTGTTGCAGCACAACTAATTTCCAGGCGGTTTCGTTGCACAGGTGCACGTAGAAATAGCGCTATTTTTCATGGAATAGAAACATATTGGCCTTGTCCTCGAGGCTGCGAGAAGCCCAATTGAATGCTTGCGTTGCAATCTGCCACTGAAAATCTGACAACTCATTGAACTTGATGGTGGGCGGATGCTTGTTGGTGAAAGATGAATGGTTGAGGATGCTGCAAATGAAGTCAAAGTCGAGACTTGTCCCTGTAAGCTGTGGCGTGTATACGCATTTACACCGCCGAAAAACTCTCTTGCCCATACATGGACGACTCTGCGCCTAAAGCAAGCGCACCTGTTTTCCGGCCGGCGGTGCTGCCATTCCCCACGGTACGGGCCAATTTTCTGGATTCAAGCGCATGGGTGGACCACGGTGGCATTCGGGAACCAAGTAAGAACAGCGCAAGTAAATTTAGAATGTCAAGTTGGATGTGCATGAGATATGCAATCCTAGTACAAAGAGACCGCAGCCGCGGGCGCATCCAGAGGCGCTTTCAGCAAACGCCGACAAAGGTCCAGATATCCAAAACCCGGAAACACTACCCGCCACCATGCGACATATCGACCAACCATCTCGCACACGCCCATCCCAAAGGGGAAGTCGGGAGCGTGGGGGGGCGCGGAAGATGCCCGAGCCTTGTTGATTGCACGCAAAGCCAACATTCGAATTGAGATTGAGAACATGGCTCGTGGGTTGAACTCTAAAGCATATGAGATAGAAACGACTACCACGCCGAGTGAAAAAGCCATTGTTAACGTCACTGGTGACTAGACATTGAGACGGGGAGGTGGCTACCCTGGAGCTGAGCGGGCGACTTGCTACAATTTGGTCTTGATGAATAATAGCACGGGGCAAGGTGTGGCGACGAGACTTGTAATAAACCCTTCTTCAAGGAAATATACTACACATCTATCCGTACATCGAGCTCTATCAGTGGAACCACGCACAGAAACCCAGCACTAGGCATTCCACGTCACAAGGCCGTCGGAAGCCCTTGCTAGAAAGACTTCCTATTGATCCAAAGGAACCTCGTATCCCAGCGGCACAGCCAGCGTATACACAACCCTCCCGACATTAAACACCCTACACACCAGCCCGAGAGCAAAAAGAATCGCCAGCAGCCACACCAGCACCCGAAACGCCACATTCTTCATCTGGTTGCGGTTGCGCCGACGCGTCCGGCAGACAAAGTCCGAGCCGTCATTGACATTTGGAAAGGCGACGCATTCCGGGACCGGCTCCCCCAGAAACTTGCACAGCGGGCCCCAGCCGTCCGTGATTTTGTACTCGAGCAGCCGCTCCGCCGGCACGAGGCTGCGGACCTCTTGGTAGTGACGCCGGAAGATGTCCTTTCCCCGGTTGGGAAAGTCCCCCTCGAAGAAGGTGTCAAAGAACTTGTTCAGCATGGGGTAGTACATGCCGGCCGCCCAGTCAACGTACGAGAGGTACCTGAGCTCGGGGTCGGTAACGCGCCGGTACACCGTCTTGAGTGTCGAGGCGTGCCACGAGTCGACGTCGCGGTTGGTCAGGACGACCTTGGCCTCGGGGTACGCCGCGATGAGCTCCTTGGCAAACGCGACGGCTGGCCAGTCGCAGACGGCCTGGCAGTTCCCGAGGAGCTTGTCCCAGTCGCGGCGGGCAAAGGGCTTGCCGGCGCCGTCGTACTTGGCGCAGAGGGCGTCCATCCAGAGCAGTGCGTCGGGGGGGTTCTCAACGGAGCAGTTCATCATGTGGTACGTGTCGACGTAGCCGAGCTGCTTCATGGCCGCGCGGAGAGCTGCCTTTTTGTCAGTGGTCGGCGAGCACACGACGGTTTGATGGGCGGCTTACATGCGGTGCCGGTGCGTCCCAGTCCCAGGATGAGGACCTTCATGGGGACGGTGCGGACGCATTTGCTCCGGTTGATGTCGGTGTCGTGGGTGAAGATGTCGGTGAAGGGCTTGGGCTTGTATTTGGAAGAATATTCCATTTTTTTTCTTTTTGTATTTGCAAGTCTTTTTGTGTAGTAGGACTGGAGGGTTTCATCCAGTGGGGGATGGTCTAGGAAAAAGGAGCGTTTTGTGAGATTCGAGAAGGAGCAGAGAATAATGACAAGTGAGGGATGGCAAGGGACACACTATGCTCTTGAAACTGAAAGAAATAGAATCATTTGATCGACGTTGTGTCGACTACGGAATGAAGATGGAGATTTCCTGAAGCCGGATCAAAAGTGGCGTCGTCGTCATGGTCAGTGTCGACGCGCCGATATTCCGTGACCCAAGAAATGCCAAGACGTACAACCGCCGACGACCCGGATCATCATGATGTAAAACAAGGAGAGAGATGGATTAGATAGTCGTAAGCGGCAGGTACAGTTTGATACCCTCGTCTCCCCGGCGGGACGGATTAGATGGTGGGAATATTGAAGGCGTGCAGCTATCATTCTCGCCAGACGGCAGGATGCCAGGGCGTGTTTTTGCCTTTATTTTGCGTCATGAGGGCTAATTTTAGACGGGCCCCAAGTTTCTCAGCAACTATAACTCGGCAAGGACGCAATGTCGGAGGACTCGTCATCACTCGGCCGCGAGAACTGATGCTTGGGTTGCAAGTGTTGTCTCTCCGCCACGGAGACATGCCCGCCGGGGCATCACACGCCCCTCCCCGAATGGATCAACCCGGTAGGCTTGTCGCCGATAACGATGCCAAGTGCTGTCTGGTGCCTCGAGGCGTCAATTGCTTGCCCTTGGGGCTCTCAGGGGCTGTGAAGCGCAAGTACAGCACAGTGACTTGTTGGTGACATTGATGATTGCTGGGTGCAATGACAATCAGCCTTGGCGGCTGTCTTGGCAAATCAAAAACTATGCTAAAAGAACGGATAAACGGCTCAGCAGTTTCGGCGGCTCGATTTGGATAGAGAGCGCAAGGAGGCCTGATGACGCGGCTTCTGAGCTTCTGAGCCTTCATCGGCTGGCACTGTGGAGGTTGAACGGCAGAGTCCAGCTGAGCGGGGCTTGAGGTGTTTGCTGGTGATGGGGTTAGGGTTAGAGTCTGGCGAGTTGACGTGTGATGCCTCGCAGCCCAAGATGTCACCCTGACACATGCTGGCAGTTCAGTTGATGCTCAGCCCTAATCCCCCGTCTTTGGCCAACTTGCCTTCTCTTTTGCCACGACGGTGCACCTTGTGTCCAGTCCCGTCCGTCGTTATTGCCGGCGCTTGCAAGGGCGGCTGTATCCCCACCACGCACAAAGTATTCAGTGCTCCGCCACCCAAACAAGCGCCGGGTTGTGGGCGGCCGAGCCCACCGTGACGCGTGTTTCGCCGTTCACCATGTAAATCTGATCTTGTCACGATTCATCATCAATTTTTCACCAAGTCTAGCCGCATCTTAAATCAATTGCATGGTAGTCCATCAACTCCTATTCCATGCATGTTCGATATTGCCTCGGCTCAACCCTCCGACATGCCGCCCTCGGTGATGACGACTGACGCCTGCCATGTCCACCCCAAGAACCCTAACCTGAATACGAGACCACAAGTAATCCCACGGTGCCCCGAGTCCAGATGTCCCTCTGTGCCCTGCGTCCTCCCACATTCCGCTGCCTCCACCGAATTGGCTTTGACCGCGACATACATCCATCTACTACCCGTTGCCTGCAAGTAATTCTGACCAGCCATGAACCTGAAGCAGGTCCACAGGACTGCAACATTGAAACTACCCTCTACCCACCCCAGCAAAGACATTGCCGTAGCACATTGTCCATCGAGATCGACGAGGCGAGAGTTGAATAATGCTCGTGATTGCTCTGTAGCGTGACATTTGTAACGCAGTTGTTGGCGTCTGGTGCCGGTTTCTCATGGATATCACGTCTTACCAGAGTAGACACAAGCCCCACCGAGTACACAGGCCGGCACAACAATGCATTCACGTTACTCGCCTCGTAGGAAATAGAGCTCATAACAAACAGAAAAATATCAATTCCCGTGGCGTCCAACTCCAGATATCTGTACGCAAGAGAGAAAACACGAATTTACAGCCAAATATATCGCTCAATGCAAAACTTTCAGACTGACAAATGAGCCAAGTCACGCTCCATACACTGTATACCGCCCCCCATATTTCAAAGCTGCGTCCAATGAAGTCCCTTTGAAGCGGCCGTTCTGTCCTCATCCGTTGGTAGTATTCTGTACTGAACAGCCAGTCGACGACACGTAAAACAGGCCTTCATGAGTGGTCGGAAAATCAGAGCAAAGACCACTACTAGACTGAAACCCGCACCGGCTCCCATAAGCCAAGTCCGCGCCCTGTCGTGGTCAGTCGATGCTTTGGGCCTGTCAATCTTGTACGTCTAGATATATTCGTTAGCACACGCGTGAAGGCACCTCGTAAGATTGGACTATAGGCATACAATCTTCACCCTGGTAGCGTTGGCAGGCTCGCTCGACCCGAGAATATTGCCTCTCGCGTCCAAAGCCACGGCCCTAACGTAGTCTGGATGGGCGGCTTCCAGCAAAAAGTTTGTTTCGAATCCGGACTTGGTCTTCTTTTCAATCACCCTCCATTTTCCAGCGTTTGGATTATCGGTCCCCTGGAGGACCCAGGCCGAGACATCTGTCGCGCCGTTCCAGCTCACGTATGCCCTCCACACCATGCCGTCGTCCTGGGAAATAGCCAAGTCGGGATTCGTCTCGGGGAATGACTGCCAGTCGAACTTGAGTACGCGATATGACTGAACGTCGCCGGTGCCGAATCCGCTCTGTGGACCAAAGTGCGTCTCGCACAAGACTTTGCCGTCGCGCGTGAACTCTGTGAATAGGCCGCTGAAGCCGTATCCAACAAGGACGTTGCCGTTGGGGAGGTTTTGCATGGAGCCCTGTGACGCAGCGGGGACGTGAGTTGGGTTCTTGTACTCGGTGACGAGCCTGACCGTCATGAAGAGTTGGTCGACACCGAGTCGAATGCCTCTGGGGTGAGCATTCTCCAACGGTCCACCGTCGTGGCTATTGTCGAAGAGGGTGATTTCCTTGTAGTCATTGTCCCACCGTGCGTCATGTTGGAAAGCAAAATTGGTCGCCTTGCCGCCTGACAAATCCTTGAATACGTTCCCCTTGCCTCCCATGGTCCAAATGATGCTTCCCGTCTTGCCGTCGATATAGAAGATGCTGTTCAAGTATCGGCTCGAGATGAGGTAGTTGCCCTGGGCGTCCTTGTCGATGCTGTTGATATGGAACCAGTCAAATGGGGCGCCGCCAGGTTCGCCCTCTCCGCCAATATCGCGGAATGTGTCTGCAATATTCAGATGCTTACTCGCCCGCCACTCAAACACCAGGTCGCCAGTCTCGATATCAATCTCTTGGATAAGACAGTCCCAGATGGGGCCCGTGTTTTTACCGAGGCTGGACAAGTCCACTTCTTGAACATCGTAGACTGTAATCAGAGCAGTACCTTGTGGTGTGAATCGAAACTCGTGCAAGTCGCCCTTCATGCCGTTGGCTGCATGCAAGCGGCGCGTCATATTGTACGTTTCATCCAGCTGCTGGGAGCATTAGCACTGGGCTCCAGAAAGCTACAGTAATATTGCGCAAGGTAACCAACCATGTAGTAGGAACCGGCGCCGTGGCCTCCTACAGCATCGTTGCCTGCCCAAAAGGTTATATACTTGTGACCTTTGTACTCTTGCGCCATCAGGTTGTAGATCTGCTTATTGTCCCACCCGGAAGTCCAGACCAAATGCCCATTGTGATCGAGAATCGTTGCTTGAGCATGCTGTGCTTGCTCAGCATAGCCACGAGGCGAGAAAAATGTCAACAAGTTTTTCGTGCATCGGCTGTCCTGGCGAACAATGTTTGGCCGAGGGGCAATAAGCTGGATAGACTTGAACTCTTGGACGGGGTATTTGCCAAGGTTACCTTCATCATAGCTCCCAGACGAGACGTATACTGGTTGCTCGGCGTTGGCGGCACAGGCGTGAAGGGATATCACAAGGTTGAGGACCGGAAAGATGGTGGCCACGGTGGTGGCAAAGCCTGCTACATCGCACGAACTTGTCTTCTTGCAGAACCACATCCTAGAGTTGAGGGCACTTGAGGAAGGAATAACTTGTAACACCTGATGCGTCTAGAGGCTGGAGGGAAGAAGGTTTACGGTCGCAATTTTCGAAACTACCACGGGATCATGACCAAAGGAAGAAAAGGCTAAGAGTAAGAGAATGGATCCCCAGATTCATTGATGATGGACACCTAGGACTGTAATATGGAGAGGGAAACGTGATTGATGCTGCTCTCCCGGAAAAGCCAGGCAAGCAAAGAGCAGTAGCTTGCCATGGGAGATGAATTTGGAGAATCAACAGGTACAATGGATCATGTGCAGTACGCGCAAGATGCTCACCACGTCAGCCTTGTCCAGACTCCAATGTACAAGAAGGTACCTCGGCTGTACGTATCTGCCAACTATCGTGTCAACTAAAGCCAGCCACAGAAGCCGGCGTTCAAGAACCGGTAAGGATTGAATGTGAAGCGGCCACAAAAAGGTGGGGACAGGGTGTGCGAAAACGGGCTGCCGATCGCCACGTCCGTGTTCGCCAAGTCCAACGTCTCCACGAGCAAGCCGTAGTTTGGTCTTGGTCATTACCATCGACCTGTGTTGAAATCGATATGGTCTTCTTTCTCATGCGAAGGGGCCGGATAGGAGATGGACCAAGCATACACGAGATTCGCTCTCAAACACTAGTGTATATTCCTGGTCAAGTACGGAGGCACTTAGTTTCTGTAAGCCGAATAACTGCGGATCAATTGGTAGATGCCACCCGATGTCGTTTAGGCCCCCGACTAGAGTGTAAAAACGGGTACCCGTGGGCACCCGTAGGTATCTAAGTTTTTCTTGGGTTATTCGTGGGCTACCCGTTTTATTATGTAGGTAATTTAAGTATACTACGAGTAATCTAATATAAAGATAAGTACCTTATAAATACCTATAAACGTATAATAATATAATTACTTACCTATACCTACTTAAAGCCCAGGGGTAAGCAACCCACACGGGTACCCGTGGACCTTTTACACCCTACCCCCGACTGGCGAAGCCACGTGGTGGCTGATAGCAAGGGACCCAGGGCAGCAGGAGCCGACCCTTCGAATGAGAAGCTGTGAGTGGACATTTGCTCTTCTCGGATAGAGCTCCATTTAGACCAGCACATCTTGATCTATCCTGATGTGTTCACTTCACACCTCCCTTCCCCTGCAAGAGGCTCAAATCGAACGCGCCACTGACAACCCTTGGTCTCGTGCTACGTAAAACACCAGCAGAGGCTCCATGGTCCCCAATTCGGCGGTGGCTGGCAATCGAAAGAAGCATACGTAACCACCAAGTGAAACCCTTTGGTAAAATCTATTTTAGGCTCCTTCACAGCGGCCTTGATTCCAATGCGTTCGCGTCGTGCAGAGGGGCTAAGCTATCGTGTCCGCGTCATGTCAACAGCCGTCAAGTTTCTGGGGTATTCCTGCTCGCACAAGCTTCTTTCTGGTACCGACCAATAAGGCGCAGCATCGCATTTTGCGTGCGCTTTTGGCCTTGGTAGTTAGTTATATCCTTGGCGCGTACACCACATTCAACATTGCCCTTGTGCAATAACTTGCCTCCGTTGCTGACGTAGTCGAAAGGAGCCACTGGCCGCGGCTCACACATGCGCTGGTGCTCAGCTTATCAACCAGCTCTTCCGGCTCGCCATCCCTCATACCTTGATATGTCAACACCTCTATTTTATTTTGTAACCGATTAGACGCGCAAGCAAGCCTATACGTCAAACGCTCCTTTCATTTCGGCAGTGTTGTGCCTTCGACCTCCTCTTACTGCCAAGACACCAACACTCCGAGGCTTCCGACTTGCGGCTGACGACGAGGCCTCAATAGCCGTGCGCATCGGACGGATTCAATTTTCTCGTTGTAAAGTATATGCCTTCCGATGAATTTCCTTTAGGCCCTCTTTTTTTAGCGTCTGGAAGCTACAGTGTGGTGCCGATTCGGCGAGCCTCCGGGATCCGTTTCCAAAATCAAGGCGGTTGAATCAAAGCCTGCGAGAACAGTTGGGCGCGAACTTGACCTCGAACGGACCCCCGACGTTGAAGCCTCAATCTGAATGACCGGATGGTTGATGAAAATCTAACTTTATCACCCCCCCCCTTTCCCCCCCTTTTTGGTCATCAACCTACTTCCGTATTACCTCCTTGAATGATCTAAGGCCTATACCCTTTCATATCCCAATAACAAAATTTCGTGAGGATATAAACATACCTTGGCTAAATTGGCATTGCAAAAACCAATGTACTAGGTTACGGTGGGCCGACACAGATGGTTACGTTGGTCAGACTAAACCACCAAGGCAAGGACCTGCGACAAACAATTTCCTCAAGCCTGGGGCACGTCTGCAAACATGGTAGACGTTGAGAAGATTCGGGCATATCCTACCGCCCCGTCTGCCTCCTATAAAGAGAGGGAACAGGACCAGCCGAAGGAGGTGATTAGCTGGCGTGCCGTGCCACGAAAAGACCAGCTTCTTATTCTCTTCATATCTCGTTTCGTCGACTTCTTCCAGGTGGCTTCATTACAGGCATACATCTTCTTCCAGCTCAAACACTTTGACGACCGGCTCTCAGACGCAGAGATATCGAAACAGGCCGGCATACTGCAGGGTTGTTTTACTGGTGCTCAAGTTCTCACTGCAGTCCTCTGGGGGAAGGCCGCGGACGCCAGTTGGTGTGGCCGTAAGCGCGTGCTTCTCATCGGCCTTGCTGGTACAGCTGTATCATGCGTAGGATATGGATTCTCAACTTCATTTTATGAAGCAGCATTGTGGAGAGCCTTGGGCGGCGCCATCAATGGTACTGTCGGCATCACGTAAGTACTGTGGTCTTGATCTATCCAGGCAGTCTGCTTATTTCTGCAAGATTAGTAGGACCATGATCGCAGAAATAACCGTAGAGAAGAGATACCGATCCCTGGCATTTCTGATCTTACCAATGAGCTTCAATGTAGCAGGCATTATCGGCCCAAGTAAGAATGCATCCTTGGGAACACCTAGATGTGTAGCATTGAAGTGGTTACTGATACATGTGGCAGTCCTTGGGGGTCTGCTCGCAAATCCGATTGAGACCTTTCCTCGGTTATTTGGCGAAGCAGCGATATTTGAATCGCAGTGGATGTATCAGAATCCGTATGCCTTGCCTAGTATTGTTAACGCCCTTCTTTTGGCCATGTCAGCCATTGTAACATATCTATTTCTCGAAGAGGCGAGTGACCGTATATTGGAGTCCGGCGATATTTATCGGAGCTAACAGACGTGAAGACTTTGAGCAACAGGAGCAGACAGCTCGATTTTGGCTTGTATCTAGGCAACATGATCAAGTCAAAGATCTTCGAGCATGCCAGAAAGCAGTTTTATCATCCCCTGCGGCAAGGCGAGGACATGTCCATAGCTACACAACGTGTAGAAATGTACAGCAGACAGAAGACAATGGGAAAATTGTCATTTAACCAACTCTGGACTCGAAATGTTGTATTTACCCTGCTCACGAGTGCCCTATACGATTTTCACCTCGGTTCCTTTGCCAATATTTGGTCCTTGTTTCTGTCAACTCCTAGATATCAAACGTCGAGCCACTCGATTCAAAAACGATCGTTGCCTCTCCTATTCACTGGGGGCCTGGGTATGTCAGCAGCAACAGTGGGGTTGGCCACCTCGATTCTGGGCGTTCTGGGGATGGTCATCCAGATATTTTGCTACCCACCCATTCAAACTCGCCTGGGAACACTGCGGTCATTTCGGTGGTTTCTTTTCCTGTTTCCAGTAGCTTACTTTATAACTCCATATATATCGATTCTTCCGTCGTCAACGGAGCCACCAGAGCCTTCCAGTGGCGCGTATGTATGGGCGGGTCTGACCGTGGTTCTGCTTCTGCACACCACGGCACGTTCATTCACTTTGCCGGCCAGCATTATCTTATTGAACAATTGCAGTCCGCATCCTAGCGTCCTGGGGACCATCCACGGCCTGGGACAAAGCGTCTCGGCCGGCTTCAGAACCGTAGGACCCGTGGTCGGAGGGCGGTGGTATGGATTTGGGCTGGACATTGGAATGGTCGCCTGGGGTTGGTGGGGAACAGCTGCCGTATCGATATTTGCATGTTTGACGGCGTTGGGGATGCACGATGGAAACGGACATGAGATATTTCTGGATGGCGAAATGGATGACAGACGTTGAGAGGCCCTGTGAACTACTTAGGTACACGTCAGAAGAGAATGAGAGTGCATTCTCACACAATGTCACGCGTTACTAGCTGCCAAGTGTATGCCAGCCGTCTACGAATTTGCGCAGCTGGTGACTAGACAAACGGAATCTGTGAACAATTCATGCATGCCCTGCTTGCGGTGACAGTCTTGCTGCCAATGTGAAAAATTGAAAAAATTGCCTTCTATTACGTTCCCCTGAACCTATCCTCTAATTTCCCGTCCACACAAGCCAATAACCCAGCGACCACCTACGAATAATTTACATTCTGCTGCCTGCTTAAGTGCTTGAACAACTACCAACGAAAGCGCCTGCTTTTCTCGGTTTTTTAACATGGAAGACACAACTATGGTTCGTGTGACGACTGAGGCAGGAGACCCGGACTGCCCAGATGCTCCTTCCAGTTTAAGCGACGGCAACGAGATGCAGGAGTCGGACTTGATGTTCAAGCTGGGACTCGTGGAAGATTGCCAAACCGAGCCCGACTATGACAACCAGGCAGAAATCCTTTCCTCAGAACTGGATGGCGAAAATACGACACCGGAGATGCAACAAATTGAGCCTGGTCATGCCACTACTCCCATCGACCCCATCCCAAGAAGCACCGTTGATACAGGGTTCGAGATGGATGAAGATGACTACGAAGCTCTGCGGCTCTCTTTGGGAATACCTAAGCAATCGGAGGGGTTTTTGAACCCAAGAAAAACCCCAACTGCCATTCCAAGCCCGGCCACGCCCGGAACACAGATCGCACGAGAATCTCAAATTGCTGACATGCATCTGGCATCTCCGATTCAGCTCCATTCTCGACGTCGTCTGCTGACAAGCCGTAGTACATCGCCAAGCGAGGCACGGAATGTGTCCGATAGATTCCCTAGGCGGCCCCGAAAGCCTGCGTACCAGTTGCTCGAGCAGGAGGCTGCCTCGATCTTGGGCGATTGGAACCCGCGCAAGAATAAGCTCACCTCGGACATGAATGATGTGTCCCACGACGAAAAGAAACCACAAGTGGCAAGCAAGGCCTCTTCAAACCCGCAGCAAAAGCGCACACGATCTGGGATTCAAAGCACCTTATCCACCGCGAACTGGACTGTGGCCCCCAAAGACCGGCTTGAGGTGGTGCTACGGCCTAAACGAAGGACTTGGCTCGCTGCATATAAAGATGTCGATGGCATGAGCAAGAGTGCCGCCGAACAGCCAAGAAGAGGTGGTCATCATGGAACAGGTCGACGAAGCGTTTTGTCAAGCACACGAACTCAGGCTACCAGCCAGGTTGAGAAGAAGAACGCCGTTATATCCAAGAACACTTCAAGTGGCAGACCTAAGAATGCGAAGCGCAGAGTCATCGGTGACAGGGTTGGCGTTATCGGGGTGAGACGAAGTCAGAGAACGAATGCCGGTAATCTCGACTCGGCCAAACATACAACCACTTCTGGCGGCGTTGAGCCAACTAGGAAGGGTGTAGTTGAACCTGGTTCTCGACGGGGCAGATCATCGGGTCTACCAAAGCGAAGAGGCCGGCCACCAACCCGCGCCAGGATGTCAAACAGACGGAAGTAGTATGGACGAATTCGATAAAAGTGGAGGACATAGCCCTAGAAAAATGAAGCATATGGCTAGGAGTTCAAGGGGGCTCATCCTGGGAGGAGGGGTTCTTGTCCAACCACCTGTGTTGAACGGCTGGAACGCCCCGGACCTCACTTAGATTTCCGAAGCATAGGAGTATTGGGGATAAAAGAGCTGAGAATGAATTGGTTCAAGACATGATGTTTCTTGTCCCGGGGGCTTAAGCTGGTGGTGATGAGGGTTTTCCAAAGCAGCCGTGGGTGGCTTGGTAAGGGCGCCGTTGATCACGCATCAGGCGTTATACCAGGACGGCCAGGAGTCGACAGTATTCTTTCCATTGTTGTTGTATATGATTAGCTCGCAAACGATTGGCAGACCCTCAGAACTGGTTCAGAAGGACAAGATGTCAACAGACAGAACTTTAAACACTCTGCTATTCTTTTCCGCATTATCATAGAATGGTTACCAAAATACCAAATTTGGAGAAGTTTGGGATCCCCAAGTCGCTGGGTCTTCTTTCTGATGAGCCACCTCTAAAACGATTTTCCAACCTTTACTTTGATCCCTGGGATAAGATTACTGCCACATTACCGGATGATGTAAAATCGCACAAAATAACGGAGAATATGCCGCTTACCAATTTTAAAAAGCTCCGAGCTGGTGGCAGAGTTAAAATATCGGTGACCATACGTGGTATTGACATTCATGATCCACGGGTATACATGGGGCGGATCTTCGGATGGAAAGCCGTTGGACAAGATTCCATCACGACTTACATAGCTGTTTCCTGGCTGTCTGTGATCACCTGGGTCTACAACCTGTATTGAGCTATGCGGGACTCTGCCTGTGGAACTGGGCAGCAACTGGCCATAATGAAAATGCACTCGATCCGTTTCCCCATCTTACACAGATGAAGTCAATGACTAGTGTTCGCAGGGACACGAGGCGAGGATGCGTCTTACCACGTCCCCGTACTGGTTAAAGCAGAAGGCGGTCCGATAGTGTCAAAGTCTTGGCAGCTGAGGATGCAAATCCTTCGTTTGTGATCAAGGCCTTGAACGATGCTGCAGATACCTTTGTGCGCATGGGAGCTCATCTACCCAAGCTGTACTCGGTGCTAGATGCCAACAGCTTCTATCATGGGCTCCGGCCGTTTTTCGGTGCCGGAAGCGCCAATGAAGATACGGGTTTGCCTCGGAATCGCCTTCCAAAGAGCGATAGATCTGAGCTGCGAGTCAAATGTATCGCGGTAACGACAAGACAGGGCGCCCTGTTCCAGTTTTTGGACCTTGTGCTGGGCGTAGAGCACGAGAAGCCCAAAGGCGCAAAGGAGATCTTCGTCCAAGTAAGTAATGTCTTTGAAGTCAGCCGCCATCTTCAACCATGTGCATGCAGCTGACGTGCGTTGCAGGAGATGCGGGCCTATATGCCACAACAAATGGGGGGTTTCTGAATCTCGTGTCGAAGTTGATGTCGCTTCGGGGGTTTGTCCTAAACATCCGGCAGAACCAAGAATTGGTCGATGCACATGACAACTGTATGAACCAGCTCCATCTCTGGTGTGTCAAGCGCAAGGCTGTTGTCTCCAAGTCTACCGTCCGCCCTGCGCGACAGGCAGCAGGACAAGCTGTCAACGGTCAAAAAAGAACACGAGAACACAGACAAGGGCCTCGGCAATGATGATGGCGAGGGCTTTGCGGGACTGGAGGACCGGCATTGACACCGTTTCTCAGGCAGACGAGACTCTGGGTTCGAGCGGCTCCGCTTGATGGGCTTGTATATTTACGATGCTGAATGGAATGGGGAACAGATGCCCGGGGGGTTCGCATGGTGTTGAAGTTGGTTGAAGGACAGGCTGCCACATTTGGCAGGTTTCAAGGCAGACCAGCATCCGGCATGGAGCAAATGAGGGGATTGCCATGCCGCAAATGCAATAGGCAAGTGAACAGACCTTTGTCTCAATATACAGTAGAAGATCGTACTGCAGGTGACTTGAAGTACATCGAAGGCCGCTCGTTCAACCTGTCATGGTGAGGCTAAAAGACTCACTCCCAAGATCTATGGGCAAGCCGTCCAGGCAACAGCAATTTATTGCCCACTGGAAATGATGGAAAGTAGAAAAACACCTTGACCTGGGACTTTGGCTGCCTTGCGAGTGTTTGGTCCAGCTGAGGCGCCATCAGTCTGCCTAGGCCTCTCATCCACCTGATGGTGGCTTGGAAATGGGCCAAAACGGCCTCAAACTGCGGCTTCTGTCTCCCGATGGATGCCTGCCAAGTTACGGTTTAGTGGACCCCCTTGATCGAAGATCGTCGTCCTGGGAAGTCTGGGGAGAAGTGACGAGGTATGAGATCTATGTCAAAGAACAGGGTAGAAAGTCCTACATGGTACGAACATATGGTATCGTAGTACGGCAGCGGCTAGACTGGCCTGGGATTGCGCATTATATCAAGGACCTTGGCAAAGTCGTGATGGAGAAGAGTATTTGCTTCACACTAAGCAGTTCGTTCGGTACATTGGATATTTTTCTTTCTCTTCAAGTGCCGCCATCTAACCTGGGATAACTTGTGAAATTCGGCCATCATGGGGCTACGCGACAGGCTTTCCGCAACACGGGTTGTACCGCTTTATTCCAAGTCAAGCAGCAATCAAGCCCATGATTCTCAGGCACCGCCCCCCGACGCCGCCGTGAAAACCTTCTTTGAAGGTCCCAAACCGGTCCCTGGGTCCTACATCTGGGTGAACAAGCCACCGAAGCAACTGTCCAGCTCTGTGGCAAGGGAGTGTGACGGTGTGGCAATCATGGTCTCCATAACCAACGACCGGGGAAAGCCATGTATTGGGGGATCTATCCGTTAAAGTACCATTCCGTCGACGTTCAGAATCCAGCACTTGTCGAACCGCTGAAGCGAATCTTGAGAGACATGATGGGGTCCTGGCTGGACACAGAGTACAAGCTCACATTCACCGAGCCACTCCCAGATTTATGGTTTTGTCAAGAGGAGATTGCCAACCTCGCAATGGCTGCGGAGAATGCGGACGCCTTGAAGCCGTACCTGCAGCTCCCATTAACCATTATGAATGAAATATTCGCTGAACTCAGGTTCGTCTACAAGAAGATCCAAAAGGCTGCTTTGGTAGACTTCAAAAGCGCATGGACGCTGTTTCCGCGAAATCGTCCAGTTTACAGCTTCGCACTCAACGCCGACATGCTCTGCAAGGTTGAGAGTGTGGAATACAAGACCGTGGCAACAAGGTTCACGGCCAAGATCCTCAACTTCAACGGCTCCGAGTTTGTCTGGCAGACCATCAGCCTGGGAATTCCCGCATTCAAAGACGGGTAGCCGATTTCCGAGTTGCAATTCTACCCGTTGAGCTTCCATAAGACATCAGCAAGCCTAATGTTCAAGGGCGCATCCTAGTCGATGTTGTCGGATATCACAAGTATCACTCCACAAAAGGTCTACGAGAGTATGAGGATCCAAGCATTGAGCGGGCAAAGGCTGCGAGGCGCAGTGCCAGGGCTGCCGGTGAGGATGTCAACTTCAACGTACATGACCATGGAAATAGCCAAGAAGCGGTGCCGGATGAGCAGACGACTGCCGTTAAGAGGCGACGGCTTACTGATGCCGAGATACTGGAGAATAAGAGCTTTGTGCTCGAGAAGCACGAGGACCTGGCGTACGTATCCGGACTGACTGGCGGATATGCACTAAAGAATAAGCTTTGGAGTGAGTGCAATGAACCAATGAACCACAGTAAGCTCAAGAAGCTAACCTATTACACAGTGAACTTTTATCTTGAAGACATAGAGCCTACGGTATGGAATGACAAAGCCTACGAGCACTTGGTGTCTGGTACGACCCCAGCAGAAAGACTTGGTGCTGACTTTCGTTGAGAGTCACGGCCGCACACCCACACTAGATAGCTCCAGCTCCATATCTGGCACAAGTGTAACCGCCTCGCCGCTTTTAGTAGACAATGTTATTGTTGGAAAGGGACAAGGTCTTATTGTTCTCCTATCAGGGCCTCCTGGTACGGGTAAGACGCTGACAGCAGAAGCCGTCGCGGACCATACCCATCGTCCTCTTTTCCACCTGCAAGCGGAGGATTTCGGAACCAGCGCTGCAAGTCTGGGCGAGAAGCTCAAAAGGGTCTTTAAAATGGCCACGGACCGGAACGCCGTGATTCTTCTAGACGAGGCAGGTGTCTTTATGACATGCAGAAATCCAGGCGACATTGTTCGCAACGAGCTCGTTAGCATTTTTCTCTCAGAACTCGAGTATTTCCAGGGCATCATCTTCCTGACAACCAATCTGTACGAGACTATTGACACTGCTTTCCGCAGCCGAGTCCGTCTGCACCTGCTCTTCCCGGCTCTGAGCAAAGAGGCCAGGGAGAAGGAATGGCGGCGCTTCTTGCCGATGAGATGACAGAAGAAAATACGGATTCCTTGAAGTTCATAGACCACCAGGACATACAGGTGCTGAGCTTATGGGAGTTGAATGGGCCAGAGATGGCAAGGAGTTGGTGTCATCACAAGGGTTATGTCATGACATTGGAGAGAATGGAGAGCGGCATCAAGATTACAAACCCGCAGGCGGGAAAGAGTAGCTCGGAGGATGACTATGGCGATCTGTATGAGTGAGCATTGTTCAACTGCCCCGCGTTCGAGACTTGATTCGTCAAATATGGAGATTACCGACAGCTCTCAGGGGTGTCTGTGGAAATAACGACAGCAAGACGCCACTTACTGAAATATTGCCGGTCGTTGGTCCAGACCTCCCCAGACCGGGTGCCACCTGTCTTGCATGGCCATCGACACAACCAGCATACTGTAAGAAGATTGTCCAGGGAAACAGAAATTGGAAGTGACAGCTTTGATAGTGCAAATCTTGCTGCCGAGTACGGAGTAGGTTGGGGTCTATTCTGCAGCCGAGCGTTGGATATACTCATGCAATGTCACGCTACCTCGTCGTATTGCAGGAACCAAGGGTGCTCAGGTGCGTCAAACCAAGCGCATTTTAATTCAGCATGCCCCCGAGACATATCTCTGCGCTATTACGGAGTATAGGAAACCATACTACGGGCAACCATAGGCACTGAAGAGCACACAGTCCACAGCCCACCACTTTGACCCGAGATGACGGGGACCACCTACTCCTTGTGTTATCTGATGGGGCCAGAACCTGACAAAATGGCCAGACTTCAGCTCTTGCAGCCGTGGTGCTACAGGGCTGAGTCAATTGATACGTCGATTTATGCATGTATTCAATTTTGTTCCAGCCGCATCTACAAAGTTGCATGGTAAACACGGAGGGGGTGTTATTCTCAGGTAGCTTAAATTTGCACTCTGACAGGAGTTGGCAGTTTATGTTGGCGTGAGACACATCGAGACACCACGTTGTGAAAAGGTAATAATAGCCATGATGATTGGACCCTTGGACTAAATGACCGGTACTTTGGTGTACGTTGTGTGGTGTCCCCTGCCACCCAAGGTATAAGCGTCATCTAATTCTATGACAGCGTTTCGCGCCCAAGATGCGAAAACATGCTCCAACAAGCGTATCGCCGTAGATCAAGACGGCAATAACATGATTCCAAGGTTCCTGGGCCAAGGCACCATGACTGCCGCTCCATGCCTTTCCTGCCACTAGAAGCGGCACAAGGCATGACACCAGACGGCGGGCACACAGCGTCGGTAGAGTCATTATGACTTTATGAGGCAGCCATGTTTTCGGAAGTTTGCCGATCGCAAGGATGTCCTGGTAGGAACCTTGGCAAAAGCTTGTGTATTGGGCCAGATGTCACCGATGTGTCGGGTTTGCACCAGAAATTGTCCACCAGGTCGCCCTACTGGGATAAACCGGCCCGTTGAACCCTTTGCCCTGTATATCGATCCTTGAGGTTTGATGAAGCTCCAGCCTGGCATAAAAAGTTTTTCAAGGACCCAGTGTTCTGTGCCGAAAGCCGAAAGCCACCGGGATATACTCCGTACATGGCAGAAGAGTCATCCATGCCCTTTTGCGTCGGTCTGGGCCCGCCTTTTTTCTTTTTCAGATTGACTGGCCGACTCTGGATCGGTCAAGGGTGGCCAAGAAATGGGGCGAGCAAGGCGGGAGGATTCTACCGTGGTGATACTCGTGCTTGCCCAACCTCGCGGAGTTGGTCCAGGTCCATTGAAGAAAAAATTTCTTGATCGGCACAGCCACAGTCAGCCGCGCCAAACGCGTTTCATTCACGTACATGGGGAAAATCCCTCATAAGGTAGTTACGAGATATTGCCTGAAATGGAAATACGTTTTTATGGGCCGGACGACTTTCGTTGTGTTGCAGACTTGCCGGATACCCGTTGGACGGGGCTGAAGAAAAACGTCATTTTCCAGATAAACAATAGGGTTCCATGTGCCGTGACACATGGCCATCCGTCGCCTACATTGTTCTTGTCAAAATCCGAGATCCCCCACGCTGTTAGTCTGCACCGCCCTTTATTCATGTGTCTGCTCTCGCGGAGCCCATCAACTAACTAGGTGTATCGTGGCTATTCTTTCTAGCCCTCAAATCCATACTCAATTCTTAAGACTCCAAGGATCGTGGCCGTAATCGTGCCGCGACATCTCAACGCTGGCGATCTCCACGACAAACTCGAGGCATGTTCACTTGGGCATGACTCTAATCGACGTATCGGAAGAGTACTGGCCGCCTTAGCTTGATCAGATCAGGCTTGATGGAACCCGCGCTTTGAGCGTTGCAGCTATTTTACCCTGGATGTAGGGTATTGACGACGACGACACACCTCCCACCTGGTCGTCCAAGCTTATAACTAGTTTGTAATTTGTATGTTGGGCGGCTCCCCTAGGTCCATCGAACTGACCAAGGAGAGAAGGAAAATGATAGGATTTGAACTAATGCGAGCAGTTTGTAGCTGCTTTTCTCCAAGTTGGCGCCTGCCTCGAACTGTTTCAACATGTTGAGGCAAATCATCAACTGGCTTTCCACCCCTGGAATGAAGGGCGCGATCGAAGACAGGGCCCCGACACAACATGTTCGGCTCAAGTCTGGCGTCACCGATGGGAAGAATATTGCTGTGGTTATTGACTCTAAAGAGTCGGATTCCGAATCTCTTGTGAACATCACCGGGTATGTGACCCAGGCAAAGACCGGCAGACTTGACCGATGGCTCGACGTCCTTGTCACTGCCTCCGGTTCAGAGCCCGTTTTCCTCATCATCGTAGCCGGTCTTTTGGTTTGGGCCTTTACTGGTATTCGCTACGGCGAGGAAGACAATTGGGCCGCCCTGATTTCCGACATTCAAGCCATCATCAGCTACCTGTTTGACTCCCTGCTCATGCGTCAACAGCTGAATGGATACGAGCGCCAGGTACGAGCCGCAGCCAGTCTGACGTCTCGCGTCCAGAGCCAAAAGAAAATGATGCGGCAAATCTTGGCCAGTGGTCGATATAAACGCGCCCGTCTCGGGGATTTTCAAACCGCAGAGTCGTCAAAGTTTGGACCAGAGCTTCCCACGGAGAACTGGGCTGGACGGGCTTCCAACTATTTCGCCGCGTTTCTTGGCCACTTTGCTACCATTTGCATGTACTGGGTCTGCATCGCCATCTGGCTTGCCTTTGGGCATTACTGTGGCTGGAGTGACCGATGGCAGCTGTACATCAACTCGGCCACCTCGGCACTCATGGTTTTGATCTTTGCTTTCCTGGCAAATATCCGCGAACGGCACACGGTGTACATCGAACGGTGCCTCAATTCTATATTTGAGGTCGATTCCGAGGTGGAACTGAAGCTTCGCGTCCTCACCGGTGATGCCGAGGAGAACCCTGTCGTGGTCATTCCCGCGCCTCGGGTCAATGGGATCCAGCGTGCCATCTTCTACTACGCGGATGTCATCGGAACACTGGTTGGAATTGCGCTACTCATCATTGTCATGATCGTGTGGATCTGCATTGGCCCTGCGATGAAATGGAGCGACAACTGGTGGCTTCTCATCGGCACCTACGCGGGCCTGGTCGGGCTGGTGGATGGATTTGTCCTCCGGAACGTCCAACAGCGGCTGCACCAGTATGAAGAAGTTGCACTCGAGAGCGCCAAGCTCGAAGATGTAGCCATTTCCGATGAGATGGGCGTACCTCCGCCGGAAAAGGCCGTCGTTGACCTCAACTCCATCAACTATCGGCTCTCCAACTCCATGGGCATCATCTGTGCGCACGAGTTCACCGTCATTCTGGGCGTCGTAGTCGTCATTGGACTCATTATCGGTGCGAGCGCGATGAAATGGACTACTACGGGGCAGCTGCTTTGCAACATCCCGCCTAGCCTCATTGAAACATTCTTCATGATGATTCTCATCACGGGACACAACCTTTCCGAGGCTGCGTGGCGAGCTGACCTTCACAACATGTACTTGTGGCGACTGAGGATGTTGTCGTTTGTTGATCATTTGGAGAGCAGCGAAGACGCGGCCTCCGACAAGACCCCGGATACTGTTGCTTTGGAGTAGACATGTTGCGGTGGCTAGACGGCATGCGCCGATGAGCCAAAGGGATGTCTTGTCTCAAGGACCTATTCCCATTGTTCCATTCTTGTTTTCCCGGGACCGCATGGACTCACAGGGAGCGAAACGGTACCGGGCTTTTAGTTTAGGAGTTGAAGAGGATTCATATGTGGGAGGCTTCCATCTGACTGATTGGTGTTGCAAGGTCGAAGTCGTGCCAGCCGAGTGTATCTGCTGTCGCGGACTCGCGCTTCAGTGATGCAGTTAGTCGGGGTTACTTTCACCGGCTGCAAGCTATCAACCATCATTTGTAGTAGTTGACAAAAAGGAAAAAAAGCTGAGACATGTCAATTGCTTATCCAACAACTGGCCGTTTTGCAGGTTGTGACACCCAGAATCAAGTACACCGCGAACGAAACAACGGCCCGATTAAAGTCAGCAATGCGCCTTATCCAACGGCAATTAAGCCTCATCGTGGCAATAGAGTAAAATCCGGCAGCTTAAAGTCCCTGCTATCACTGTTACACGATGCGCGGGTGCTCAGTTTCCTGAAAGTTGGGACGGCGAGTCGCAGATTGGGAGAAACCCTCCCATAAGCCTTCTAAGCAAAGACCACTTGCAGCTCCACTCGTCCTTCCACAGCAGAAACTTGTTCAACATAGTTACCAAGTATGCCAAGTTGGTGCCGTGGCAGGAAGCGTTGTGGACGGTTACACCCATGCGCGGGGCTGAAGCCAATGAAGAATGCATTTTAAATGCCCAAAAGAAGCCGTATCGAGCCCACATTGCTCCAGTCCATGGCTGAATAAAAGCCCTGACCATCTCATCAAATGACCACTGCACCTCAGTGGTGACCCGGCTTGTTGGTTCATGGCTTGCTTGTACATGATTTGTGACAAGGTGAGAGTAGCCCTGTAAGTTGATGGCTGAAATTAACCCGGACAAAGGTGACACATGCGAATTCAGCTGTGTAGATACACCTGCATCCATGCTCGAACAGGGTAGGCTCCCCTTTACGACGTTTATTCTGTTCGGTTATAAGACCACAAGCCAAATAGTTGCCGCAGCATGACAACTATAACACCATGCTTTAAATCAACAGCTGTTCTATCGCGACAATAATTTCTCCATTTCGAAAAGGCTGCATATGATTTCCCGTACGGATATCTTATCTCATTTTGGTCTAGTAGCTGGGTACAAGTTGTGAAATGGCTGCTGAATACGTAACTGTCCGTGCTGCCTTGGCCGCGCGGCGTTGGTTCTGTCTGTCACAAAACCAAAGCATCTTGAGATGAAGTAGTGCCCGTAGCAGTTCAGAGGGCATTGTCTGTGGAGTCGCCGAGACAAGACTGTGAGACACCCGAACTGCAATGCTGATACATGTACTCCGTATGTTGTCATTAGACTATCTTGCAATAAACACCTGGGGGTTCCATGATGATGTGCCACAAAAGGACATTCATCTGTCCCACATTAGGCTATCGTCAACGGCATAGGTTGCCAAGCCGCTGGTGCGTGCGAATAAAGAAGCCCGAGCTTACATGGCACAAGACGAAAGAGACCATAAGTCAGGGGTTGAATTGTGTGATCACCATGATGACAAATGGCCTTGGTAAACAAACCTCGGCGACCGGCCAGGGCTTGTTCGCATTGTTGTCATCAGAGACTTTTTTTAAAAAAGGCAGATGTTGTAGATGAACATTCGATGTATAAATCGTAAATCCATCCGCTCCGGTGAAATCGTCTCCAACTCCGGAGACAGAGAGGAATGCGGACCAACTTGGCATTTGTGCAATACTGCTCAGGCATTAACATGCTGATACTTTTAAGTGGTTATCCTACTGAACTGAAATGATAAAGATGACCAGATGGGCCGATCAGCGTTGAGATTCACAGCGTCAGTGTGATTATCTCTTACCTAGCTCTTCTATGCATCCAACTGGCACTTGTCAAGCTTCTTAGCAGATGTAGAATTGAGCCCAGTGCCGTCATCGGCCGTAGCCTCGGCGAATACGCCGCATTATATGCGGCGAGTGTGATCAGCGCCGGTGACGCTATTTACTTAGTCGGAAAGCGGGCCTCGTCTTTGAATCAGCACTGCAGAAAGGGGACACACGGCATGCTGGTCGTGAAGGCCTCTCGTCAAGAAACAGAGCGTCTACTACGGGTGGCAGAAAACGACTTCGAAGTAGCTTGTGCCAACCACCCTACCGCTCATGTTGTGGCAGGTCCCAAGGATCAAATGCCTGCTATAATCATTGAAGCCCAAAAAGCTGGATTGGCAACCCTCGAGTTGGATGTCCCGTTTGCCTTCCACTCCAGCCAGGTAGAGCCGATCCTGTCAGAATTTGAAGCGTCGACCGCGCAAGCCGGCGTCATTTTCAGCTCTCCCAAGGTACCCTTCATCTCACCGTTGCTGGGGAGAGTCGTGTCAAAAGGCGAAGAAAGTACTCTCAACATATCGTATCTTGTTCAGGCCAGTCGCTGTCTTGTCGACTTCAGTACGGCCTTGACTGTGGCACAGGTCCACGGCTTGTCTGGCAATGGTGTGATTTGGTTGGAAGTAGGAGCTCACCCTCTTTGTACTTCCATGATTAAACAGACTCTTAGCACCGAAGAACAGGTTCTGAACGTTGAGAGAGAACTTGGGAGGCTGTAAAACCATGGCCAAGTCGGTACAGGCACTATATCTTGCAGGTTTGGACACAGACTGGAATGAATACCATCTCGAGTTCCCGGCAGCGCACCGAGTTCTAGAACTTCCTCGCTACTCATGGGACCTCAAGAACTACTGGATTGACTACAAAGATGACTTTTGCGTGAAAAAGAATATTCGTTTGGGGAAGGCGCAAGGCACGGAACTCGAGGCTGAAGCCAAAATGTACAAGTATATATCCCTTGTGGCGCAGAAGGTCATGGAGGAAATCCACACGCAGAGAAAGTCTTCCATGGTTGTGGAATCAGACATATTCCATCAGAAGCTATTACCAGTTTTACAAGGCCATGCAATCAATGGTTCATTTCTGTGCCCTTCGGTAATACTATTTACTAAATCTGTATTATGCCGGCTCACCAAGTACTGTTATCGGTAGTCACTGTATGCGGAGATTGCCGTTACTCTTGGTGGTTACTCGTACAAGAACGCAAGCTATGCCGAGAAAGTACAGGTTTGGAGTTTTTCAATCTCCCTATCGACCAGCCTCTTATTGTAAAGGACAATGAAACAACCCGCATCTTTCGGCCCACAATAGAAGCGGATTGGAGCTCCAACATACTCAGCTTGGCAATTTCCAGTGTTGCTGCGTCCGGGGAGCAAGCCATTTCCCATTCTACCCTCAATGTCCGAGTTGTTCTCAATCAACGCTGGCTCACAGATTGGAAGCGCAACTCACATCTTGTCATGTCTAGAGTCCAGGCGCTTGAACTAAGCAACAATAGTCAGAAGCTCCGACGGCGCATGGCTTACAAGTTGTTTGCCGCAGTGGTCGACTACAGTGACGCTTTCAAGGGCATGTCTGCAGTTCTGTTAGACACTGATGAGTTGGAAGCAGTTTCGACAGTGCAATTCCAAATCGATTCCCCGGAGAGCAGATTCAGCATTGATGCCAGATGGATTGATAGCTTGGGCCATATTTCGGGCTTCAACATGAATGCCAATGATATCAACCACGGATGGAAAAGGCTTCGTCATACCGAGAAGCTCATGGCATCAAAGACGTAGCGAGCCTATTGCAGAATGCAACCTGAAGAGAAGACAACTTTTATCGGCGATGTGTTTGTCCTTGATGTGGATCGAATAGTAGCTATGTACGAAGGAATCAAGGTATGTCAAGCCTCGCCAACCGTTTCCATCGCACTTTGGTCCACCTGTCTCTGTCTTTGCCCTTGACACATTACAATTTGTCGGAATGCAACGTCGGGTTCTCGATCATCTATTGCCTACTAAAAACAGAGCGAGAGACCCAAAGCCAGTCGCAAAGGGGGCTGTTCGGCACGATTCCGGCCTTCACCATTCCGGTAGCAATACTAAGACAAGTGTTTCTCATGAACTCACACCGACCCCAATAAGCCATCCATTACTGCTTCTGGGTTTGGGCCTGTGATGGAGATTATTTGTCAAGAAATTGGAGTCCCGTCTTGCGATCTGGACCCCGAGTCCCAACTTGCCGACTTGGGCATTGACTCGCTACTTTCTCTAAGCATCACTTCTCGCATTCGACAAGAGCTTGGTCTAAACATTTCTTCAACAGAACTTCTTGAGTGTGAGCTGGTAGGCCAATTACAACACCTAACGGGCAGCGAGTGTAGTGTGGCCTATTCGTCCTCGACAGATTTCGACAACTACTCCAATGGCAGCGAGGGCACCAGTGCAGATGAGAGTGGTATTTCAGCCACCAGCGTGTTATGCAGTTCAGAGACATCAGACGGCGATGCGATCCGAAGCGTGTTGTGGGAGACAATCGCCCGTGAAACGGCCACACCTGTCAACAAATTGTTGCCATCTACCTATACTGCTGACGCAGGCATCGATTCTCTTCTTGCTATCATAATTGCAGGGACACTATGCGACAAGCTCAGCGTCAAGATTACGGGCGCCACGATCATGGGCTGCGAAACTCTTCTCGATTTAGGTTACCTTGCGCATGATTCTTAGCACCGCGCCAAGTCCAGGGCCAGCGGGAGTCATAAAGACTGGTTTCCGAAGCATCTCTACTACTCAGGCACTTGATGCTGTTTTGAAATCCATTTCAGCCGAAAATTCTCACGGATCGATAATCTCGCGGGACTCGGCGGCAGGCTCTGTGCTTCTGAGCGGTTCAGTGAGCACGGCCAAGTCGGTCTTGATCCTTTTCCCAGATGGATCTGGATCTGCCGCATCATATGCCGGCCTAGCTCCGACATTTTCTAAAGACGTGGCGGTGTACGGGGTCAATTGCCCCTGGCGCAAGAACGGCCTTGAGTTGATTCGGAAGAAGATCACGGTCTCCAAAATTGTAGCCACGCAACTATTTGAAGTCCGTCGCATCTTTGAGACTCATAAGCAGTACGCTTGGCAAAATTCCACTTCCGGGACTCCGAATCTGGTGTTTGGGGGTTGGTCCGCCGGAGGCATACTCGTATATGAAGCCATACGACAACTAGCTGATGAAGACGTTCCTGTGAGGAAATTACTTTTACTCGACTCACCGAATCCCTTTGGTTTACAGATCCCATCCAGGAAAATGTCTTACTTTTTGAAAGATGTATTGAGGTTTGGTGGAAGAACGGGGAAAGCCCCAGACTGGCTCCTCCTGCATTTTGATGGCATGGTCGAGGTGTTGGGAACTTACTCGCCTTTGCCACTTCCAAGCAACGCTCAGCCGGACACTTTACTGGTATACGCAAGGAAAGGCGCCAATAATGATTATGACGACCAAGAGAAAGAGCTCAACGCTCCGGTTAATCTTGATATCAGTTGGATTCTGAGAGATCGCACTGACTTCACTGGAAACGGTTGGAAGCGCCTGGTGGGGTCCGAAAGGGTCGGCATAGATTTGGCTGATCACTTCACCATGATGGAAGATATAAATCAACTGAAGCAACTCGGAAATGTTATGAATGGCTTTTTGATATAAGTGCGGGGTACCCGACAGTCCCATACGTGCTTCCAAGACCGGCTTGGGAGTGAAGAGGGAAACGATGGCTCATCCTTGTTATGTATGTAAGGATGATAACTTTTTGGGGGTTTCAGACAATTGGGGGGGGAGTGTGGTAGTTCAAGGCGAAACACGAATTCATATGGTATTGAAATCGAGGCAAGAGACTTAATAATCAGAATTCAAAGTAAGATACCGGCAGGAGAAGATGGTGTATTTTCCAATCGCGTGCATCACAGATTCCCAGAACCCGCACACGGGGGATAGATCTCTGGTCATTTGAAATACTAATTTTGCCTCGCAAGCAGAAAGCTCTTACTTACCTACCAGGATGAGGTATGTCAGTATTCGTGGTACCAACAGAAAGTGCTAGTTGTGCCTGGTGATCAAGGCATACGCAAGAGATGATAATTGTAAATATCCATTTTTCCGTATTCTCTGGCCACAAATACGAATGGAGGATTCAAGATATTCCTCCCTCTCTAATCAAAAATTCTCAGATCACTGGGCGACGGAGAATGCGGCAACACATGGCAGGATGTCGCCAAGATGATGTGCTTTCATATCCTAGAGCCGTGTGCGGGTATGTGTGAAAGGTCCATTCATATCATGGCTATTTCCACAAATCTCATTCACAATCGAGTTTTGGAATGGGATAAAAAGTGTTTCTACTATTTAAGAAACCAGCATGTAAAACTATGTCGTAATTATTTATGACTGGAGTCTTGAATGAGAGTTCACATTGGGAGTACAACGCAGCTAAGTTCGTAAGTACCTAGGTAGCTGATTCTCCAGTGGATCTATCTACTTCAATCTGACTTGATAAGAGCTGCGAACTAACATGTAGACCCAAGTTTTATGATGCTGAGGACCGCGTAGTAGGGTAGGCCAAATACAGCAAATCGGTTCACGTCACATTGACTCAGAAAAAGCGTGATATCAACATAATATCTCTATGTAAAAATTTACACTGCATTCTGATTATTGAAATCGCATCACACCATAATGATTGCCTTCTAGACCCAAATGTCACTGTGACAACGGAACAGAAAACGGTATGAAACCATGGACAACTTCGATCAGATGTGCTCATCATGACAGTGTATGAAGAGATGAAATGTAACGACGAGTGAATTACTGCCAATCCGGGGTGAATTGCTGTCTTCCACTATCTTCAGTGGTCTTGCTAGAATTACCAGCAGAACACTGATCGGATGGTGGTTCCCGGGGGCATGTTCTCCTGAATGCCAGCATGCTGATACTTGTTTCCAGAACATCCATCATGACTAGAAACTTATTAGCCATACGTTTCATTGCGCGACAAGGAGCAGAAAACTCACGAGTAGAAGTCACAAACATGACCTTCAGCGTTCAAAGACTGAACCTTGCATTCTGGGACCTTGTCTATATTTGATTCATTGTCAGTGTCTTCATCGGTGATCTGAGAGTATTTAGCCAATATTGAATAGTCTTACAGCAACTGTCAATAGGCACAAAGTGGTCGTCGCAGTCCTGGAGGTTAGGCTGCCGGCATAGTGTGAGTTTGGTGGTAATTGGGGTAGCCATAGAAGAGGCAGCAAGAGAAACGATGGCAATGATGGAGGCGGAAAACTTCATTTTGAAGAGCTTCAAAGATTAAGTTTCGATGATTTATAAGGGCTGGTCAAGATGGAGGGATCTTGTAGTCTTGAAATTACTGTAGCGTAAAGAGATGAGAGTCGTTGGTATGTAGACGTGACCGTATTTATACCTGAATATCCCTTTCATTTTTTTTCTTTTTATATGGGGATAGAGAATTTCATGCCCTCAACACAGATATTTACTCCCTCAACCGTTGACCGTCTCATCATAAAATGTTACATTCGCTCTCGCAACTACACATTCACGCTGTGTACAGTTGCCGAGAAGTCCGCGACCTCGCATCAAAACCCCACCGCAAGGATCGCCCGAGTTCCGACTTGGTGTTTCTTTTGTTCATACCCAACCCGTCATTTTGTGGAGAGCCGTCTATTCACTCGGGCTCATCATGCATAACCGATATGCACGCTCCGCACGTAGCGTCTCGTTTCCGTAGTCTTAACTGAGACATTGGCATCGCAGATGGAAGGACGCCACCATCTCTGATGCATAGTGAACTGATCAGAGAGACGAATTTCATTACGATGAGACAGCCTATGCTGATGGTTCTGTGCAATTGCCCAAACTATGCATTGAGAGCTAGTCGAACACGGGGTTACTTATGCTGGAGTCTATAAATAGCCTCGTCCGAAACTTCCGGAAGCTAAAGGAAACCTCGTAGATGTACAATGCGCTCACGGGACTCGGCGGCTCGGGACAGGTTGATTCGACCGTCGCCGCCAATGCCACCGTCGCTCTGCTCTCGGCCACCGACGGTCAGGGCTGTTGTTTGAACTGGACAAGCCGGAGCTGTTCTTCCCTTTTGCGAAAGACTGCAGCGTTGCATATGTCCCCCCCTTCAGCTAGATGGCCGACATGAAAAGTGGAACGGCGTAGCAACTCAGTTAAGCGAACTCCATTCGCTCCTGGGCCAGGATATTAGTTTGGCCAATTCTTTCCGTCTTTGATTTCAGTGATGACTTTGAAAACCCGATTGGCTCACACTCTCAACATTAATACGAGAGTACAACGCAGGCAAATGTCGACACTAGACCCGGCGTATCTCCATTACGATGGTAAGTTGGTGCGTCTCGTGAGGGTTGGGCGATGTTTCATGTGGTGGATGAGCCGAGGTAGGGCATACCAGCAACAATACTAACCTGACCCGAGACCAAAATAGGTCATACACAATGGATGCCAGATAATAATATTCAGTATTTACCCTTCCCTTTCCATCCTTGACTTGAGGCACGGAACTTTGAGCTTAGCAGAACTTAGCATGCCATAAATCAGACGACATCCCATTATGTCTTTCTGGCTTCCGGGATACGACAAGCCAAGCCTGAAGTCATATATGCGTAGCGTGAGATTTTCAAGGAAATCGCCCTCTTGTCGTTTAACTGTCTTGAATTTGGTCGTTGAAGCAGTCTCTACGAACTACGTACATTGACTCCAATGGACCTTTCTCCAACATGAGCAAGAAGGACCATATGTGGGTGCGGGAGATGGTGTCAAGGCCTTGAGCTCCAGCAGCCATTTTAGGAAACGGGAGCGTAGGTAAACAATAAGAGTAATACTAATATGGGCTTGCACAGTCCCGTGGTAGAATCGCCCTCGCTCCGGCGACGGCTTGAGTACACTCACTTTACATAAAGTAAAAGTGTGTCCAACTATTCTCTACCCACTGCTTATATCCCAACGCGGTCTCAGGGCCATGCACATAGTTGAACGACAGGCTGGTATGGTCTCGCATAATCCCAGTCATGCTCCCTGTTCGGCTTCGGCGATGCCACTTGCTACTATGCATGAGCTGGACCTGCCAACTTGTGCATCGAGTCCTTTACGACCCAGAGTTGATGTGATTGTGTGGCAAATTTAGCCAGTTCCTTCCATGTACATATAGCCAAATATCCTCCTGACGCTGCACCCGAGTCGTCTCTATTCCGGCCCATTGCCGGTGCAGATGGCGGTACAGGTGTTGGCATTGTTTTCAACAATCATTCCGTCATCGCCACCAGAATCCGCGAGGGACTGAGGACGAACAGACGGGGACAAGGATGATGCGAGGAACTGCAGCAGACGCCACTACCCTAACCCTAAGCGCATCTCCTCTCAGGTGCTGGGTATTGGCTCATGGGACACAGCCACTATAATTAGCCTTGGAGTCTGGTGGCATATGGGACATAACGTCCCCATTCACGGTTGTTGCTCTGAGTCATACCGCGACACCTCAGAGAACCGAATGTCTGTCATAGCCGCCTGGTGTGGTGAACTCGATGAGACGCCATTTCCAACAGCAACATCCGACCGACAACGTCGATGGAGTACTCGGTGCAACTCATTCAACCAGATGAGGCCGGAGTTGACCTATTCCTGACCCGCTACAAGCCATTCCGCCTTGGAGCTTTACAAAATGACCCGTCCTGTAAGCAACCGAACCATGCTCACCTCCCGAGCACGTAAGGAGTCTTATGGATAATTTCCAAGACAGACACCTGACTGGTGATATGTGCGCAAACAGTCTTCGAATCAACCTACACTCGCGAAGCGTCTATGGCAGATGATTTTTGGCGTGGTCGGGTATTAAATCCGAATGCCAAAACCTTTGTAGCCATGCAGAAGCAAGTCGGCGACATTCTATCCTCTGTAACGATTGTCCGCCACGTATCTGCACCATCAAAAGTGCAGGCCCAACTTGGCCTTGAGGCAGAACACACGGCTAGCGAGCAAGTGTTGCATTGGGAGCTGAACGCAGTGTACACCGCTCCGGGAGCTCGACGAAGGGGCCTGGGAAGAAAAGTGATAGAGGCAGCGGTCAAAGAGGCGCGAGGCGCTGCTGATTCCGAAGGCAAACCTTGCCTCATTACGGTGCTAGTGAAGAAGAATAATACCGCTGCCAGAATCCTGTACGAGAGGGCTGGGTTTCAAGCCCTGGGTGGTGTTGACGGAGATGATGCACTGCGGCTGTTTCTCTGGACGGCTCGCTCGACGTAGGCAATTCAACTGAATTCATATTAGTGTGTAGAAACAGGACTGATGTAGCATTCTGGGCTAACCTAACGGACGCAAACGTGAACCAAAATATAGTGTTGCGTGTGGATTTGTGAATGTAGAGATAAGGAATATCGTTTGGCGTATCTATGCAGAAGCAAGGCGTATAATGCCTAATCCTCCGTTTTCGAATTTACCACAAAAGCAGCGATTAGCCTACGGGCCTGTAAGCCTAAGCCCAACTAGGTCTCGAGCTCTTGTGCAGCTATCGTCAGATTCCGGGGGTCGGTCCGGCCGCAATGTTACGTGACTTCTGTGTAACACCAAATTGGTCCGACATGATCAGCTCTGCTAGCGCAGTGCGCCCAATACCCCGGAATACTGTATCCCATCCGCGTCCTGTTGCCGGGGATGTGGCGCGCGAAACTCACCGAGAGTCTTGCCTCCTTGGCTGCTACAGCACGTCAGAGCTCACTCTTGTTTTCGGAATGCCCATTGACCAACTTTGCATTGGGCGGAGACGCTGGCAATGTTTTGTGAACCGATTTGTGGTTTTGAAATTGTGATAATCCATTATTTACCATGGCCAGCACACATCGGTCGGGCAATTAGTATCAGGGCATCGCAGAGCCAGTCGGTTTCTGTAATAAATTGCCACTTCACAATCAAATTCACACTGCAGATAGACAAGAATGTTATATTCTGTTCCTTTATACCATTATGCACATAAGTATTACCATTTCCCCTCATTTACAAGTCTTCTACTGCTCTACAAACTGCTTGTCGTGCAACTTGTGCAGGGTCGATGTATCCAGCAGCTCCCCAGTAGACGATCTATAAAAGTCAATCTTCAAGTTCTGGGCATCCACAAAGCTAATAGCAGCATAGCTAAAGTCGTCGGCGTAGGCAAAAGCAGTATAGGCAGGCTTCGTCCCGACAGCACTCAGACCCTCGATGTTGCCCGCGCCACCCGCGACGATATACACGGGCGCCTTGGGGTTGTTCAGGCCCGCAGGGTCAGCGGTCCCATTGACCACGGGCACGAATCGCTGCGAGTTGTGTACGTGCCCAAAGACACCGAGGTCGACGCCGTACTTGTACAAGAGTCCCTCGAAAGCAGCCTGGCAGGGCTTGCAAGCCTCGCCGCCGGTCGTGTACCATGGCCGGTGGCCGGCAACGATGACCCAGGGAGTGACTGTGCGGTCGACCGAGGCGAGGTCCGCTTCGAGGAACTGGAGCTGCTGGTTGGGGCTGCCGAATGGTCCGCTGTTGAGGCCTGCAGAGCCGTCTGGGCCGTCGGGGGCGCCTGCGAAGTCGGTCTCGGTGTCAATCATGACGATGTGGGCCATGCCGTACTCGAAGGAGAACCAGAATGGAGGCTTGGCCAGTTGTTTGGCCCTGTTGGCATTCACCTTTGCCGTGGCATCCCGTGACGTTGACGCAAACGAGGTGGGCATGCTGCTGCCAAACCTGGTCATGAAGTCGGTAAAGTTCTTCTGGCCGCTGGGGCAAAGGCCCGTGGTGTGAGGGATCTCCTCGCAGGCAGCTTCGTGGTTGCCGGGACTGGCCATGTAGGGCTTGCGCGAGGAAATGGGAGCAAGTTGGTCGTAAAACTGCTCCAGGATGGCCTGGAAGGCGTCCTTGCTATCGAAAGCATTGTGGCCTCGGAGTATCCAGTCGTCGGCGTATGCAAGGTCACCGGGGTGAATGACAAATTCGTAATCGTTGATGGTGTCGGCGAGACGCTTAATGGTGGTGTGGTTGAGCGAAGGAGGGACATTGGGGATACCGTCTCTCTTTGTCTGGTCCATCTTGATGGTGTAGCCGTCCTCGCCATAGACGCCGAGATCGATGATGGCATTGATTGAGAATGGGGTCTTGTCACCAGCCAATCGGGGACTGAGGAAGGATGCCGTGGTCGAGTTGGTCGACACAATTTGGTAGTAGTATTTGGTGGCTGGGCTCAAACCAGTGACGGTGACTGTGTTGAACCAAGTGCGCGAGGATGGGTACGTGGCAGCAGACGTGATGGAACAGACTTGCTCCGTCAAGGAGCCTTCAGATGCGCCGTACTTGACACATGCCTTGTCCAGCTGTTTGTATGTATTCCAACTCACAGTGATGCCTATTTCAATGACGGTGGTGGATTAGCTGGTGTCTTTGGCCTGTGGTCTGTGGCACGCGATTGTCTCTACATGGTGAGTGTTGAGACTAACTGTTTGGTCCGTTGACGGCAATTCGCTGTTGAACTGGAGTTGTCAAATCAGATGGAATCGGAGGCAGATGAGCCTTGGCGGCAACACCGATGGCGAGAATCACAGCGCTCTGGGCGCAAGTAAGTAAAGACATCATTCTGTGTCCGTGGCAGCTAACGGAGCTTTGCCGGCGCAATGAGACTCAACAACACGCTTGATTCAGTTTTCTGGAAGCCATTTGTTGTCTCTCCGGGAAGTGTCTGGTGTGTGTATATATAGGTGCGTCGGTGTCTACACTAGGCCCTTCCGACTTAGCTGTCGAAGCTTCGACGGACGTGATTGTCTTGTTCGCCATTAGACTGAGTTGGCAGCTACCCAATTGTCATGGTTAGCGTGTTCTCTCGTGGCGTGTCCATGAACCGTGATTGGCGAGATCTGCATCTTCGGCTGTAGTAGACCGTCTCGTCAAGTCGTAAGCCCCCCTCCCTTGGCTTCGGTTCGCGCCCAACAATGGCTGCTACCCGCCCTTTTCGGTCACCAGTTCAAGTTAGGTCCCGGAGAATCATCTCATCATTCTCATGTATGAAAATGGCAGGAGAGATCCTGGAAGAGTCGGCATGAGGACGAGCTTGGACGTGAGAGCGCATGATCCTCCCCGGCTCTCGTTCCTTGATGGAGTGGAACCGGGCAGACACTAGTTCCCGACGGAATTTGAAGAGAAGTAATCGATTGATGGCTTGGGACGCTATGCCGCTGGGGTAAGGTACGGATATAAGTTGCGTTGTACTGCGTGGTAGTATTGACAGGGAACAATGCTATTCTTGCATTGACCAACCGCAGCAGCGACATTAAACATCGCCTCGCCGTTTGCACAAATCCTGCCATGGACGAGCCATTTATCGCCACTTCCTAAACAAACCGTGGAACCTAAACTTCGAGTGTGGTCAGATTGGATCCACAGGACCCCGTCGTCTGATGACAAGGGACGGATATTGACAGGAACAGGCTGGGGAGTCTGTCATGACCGTGCTCGGAAAGCGGACCAAGGATCGATTCGAGAAGCAGATCTTGCAGACCCGTAGCGTGTCATGGACTTTGGAGCTGCCCTTCAATCATATGGCGCTATATTAGAGACGGGAGTAAAAGCTGAAGCTCACCCTCAAGCTTGCACATCTCATTGTGAAATGTAATAGCCGTTCTGGCAGCGTTTGGACCAAATCCTTTGACACTCTTGTAGGAAGTGGCGGAAGAAGGGCAAATGATCAAGGTTTACGCTTGCCTTTGTATTTGTGCGCGTCAATGGGGAATCATGGGATGAATCTGCCGTGGGCGAAGAGTTCTCGGGGTACACGCAGATCCATCCCATCCGAAGCATTCTGGCTTGACTTTGAACACTTGACCCAGCGGCGCTTACAGTTGCAGCAGCCTCGTCTCGGCTTTTGAAATCCTTTGCCGGGAGTCGGTTTCCTCTTTTTTTCGCGGACAAGGTGCATCGTTTTCCGGCTTTTTTGCCATTGTCGCGCCTGCTACCAGCAACACGGAGATCAGACGTCTAGCAGTCACTACTCTAGAGGGTCTAACTTAAGATCTCTTGTGTTATGCAGCTAGCAGAGCTCTATCATACTTTTCTTTTGGCTTGGTGAAGCTGGGACAAGCCACAATCCTGTCTCGGAGCTCAGGCAAGGTTATCCTATATCTCGGGTTAGGGTTGAAGATCCGCCTCAAGATATTGTTAAGGTCATCGGACAATGGGAGGATCGACGTAAGAAGGTGGTAATTTGCGGTGTATGCCCGATAGGTAAGGTCTTCAATGGATGCCTGTCCCCACGGGCTGAGTCCGCACGTCAGGTTGACCAGGATGATTCCCAAGCTCCAGATGTCGCTGGGGGCCGACATGTGATGGTGTACCTCCCTTGTTCCACAATCCAGACACTCTGCCAACGGAATATGAGTCAGTAAGAGGCAAGCAAACGTTGTGTAAAGAAAAGAGCTTTAGGGCACGCACCAGGGCTCATGTAGGCCATAGACCCACGGGTACCGTAGTCAGATGTTGCATTAGTTGTAGCGAAGCCAAAGTCTGCCAATTTGACTGTTTGTCCGTTGTTGAAAACTAGGATATTTTCCGGCTTAAGGTCGTGATGGTAGATGTTGCATTTATGACAGTATTCTAGAGCATCAATGATTTGAAGGAAAATACTTTTAGATAGCACATCGTTGCCAACGTACAGGCCGCGTTGGGTTATATTTAGGAAAAGATCTCCCTCTTCACAATATTCGATGACAACATAAATGCCCTCGGGTCTGTCAAGAAACTTGTGTATATCCACCACGTTGGGATGTGCGGAGGCTTGGCGGTGAAGTTGAATCTCCCGGTGATAGTTTAAGAGCTGCGAAGCATCTAGACGAGACCCATCGGCATAGAATTTATTGAGACACTTGACAGCATAACGCGTACCAGTACTAACATCGGTAGCCAAGTACACCACGCCGTAGGAGCCGGTCCCTAATATACTTTTCAATTCAAGGGACCCTGCGAGCATTTGTCCTAGCCTCTCCATGAAACCAAATCGAGTCAAGGAACAGGGAGTTGTATTCAGACGCCGAGGATCATGAAAAATAGAGCAAAAAGCTCGAGGAAAGAGAAGCTAGTAATATGTAGGTCGGGTATAGCGGGCATGCGACACGGGGACGTGATCAGCGCTTTGCGCGCAACACCCATCGACAAGAGAATCGGCGGCAGCCACAAGCAGACATGACTCAGGCCCCTATTGAAAGCTTAATGGAAAAAAAGGCGAGCGTAGTACGAGTCGTTGACACTTGACGAATGCCTGCCCGACATAGCCAGCCCATGTGGTGTGATATGGGCATGACCAGACCCCATTGGACCATCATGCAACCCTTTCAGCAGCGCAGGACAAGAAGGCTGTAGGGAGCAAGCACGAGAAGTGGCTGACAAGATTCATGTCCCTTTTCTTGTAACGTTGACAACTGCCTACATACTAGGCGTGTACATACCGGGAGTCAATCTACCAGCACTGAGACACCAGACCAGAGTCGGACAGCACGGCGCCGCATCCCAAGATTCCCAACTCTATCACGCCAGCCACTTCAACACTCACCATTATTTGAACCCCAGCCGGCTTACATCAAGATTGAATCCTATCAATCGATAGCCAGCCCGGCTTCAATCTTGCCTCGACTGACTTTGGACTTTGGCAATTCGTCGCCATGATAATCTGCCTATCCTGCCTACTTCACTGTATCGATGGAAACTGAACTACCTACGCTTGGTGATATCCTATTGAACACTGCCTCACCGCCATGGACTTTGCACGCCTTCACGGCTCATCTCAACCGGCACTGCTGTCTCGAGGCTCTTCAGTTCATTCTCGACACCCAGCATTATGCTGCATGCTACGAAGGCCTTGTCAGAATCAACTCTGCGTCATCCAGCAGTAGTAACTCGGTCGCTAAGCTGTGGCAAAATCTAATAAAGCTCTACATCCTTCCCACTGGCCAGCGACAACTCAACATAGCTGAAAAGGAGCGAGAGCATCTACTGCATCTCCCACCCGAACCTCCACCCAGTCCATCCGAGCTTCACGAAGCTTGTCGATGCGCATATGATCTCCTGAATGACTCATTGACCGCGTTTTTCAGGACGTCGGAGCCGATGCAGGACTCGGAGGAGACTCGGTCGCCGCCCGACCAGCAACCACAATTGCAGGCTGCAGCGACAGACGAGCATCAAGATGGGTGGCTTTGTCATCTGTTTGGAGCCTGTTTGAAGCGGTGTAAGTAGTTGGTTCCTACCTTGGGTTGTACGCACGCGAAATGATGTGCTACTCTCTGGGACCATACACGAACCCAAGACTCGGAACACTTATAGGCTATAAGCACAATGATGAAAGAGCCAGTTACAGTTGACCAGAGATGTTCCATGCTATGAACAGCTCCGCAGGTAAACGGGCAGTTGGCAAGTTTACCTCCAGATGTCGAGATGCCTGCTTACCGCTTCTTGGTACTGTACCGTGGCAGGTAACCCTCGGCCACACTTGATGTCTTGTCCCCGATATTCACCAGATTCATTCAACGGATAGCCAGTCACGCGCCCTGTAGCTCACAGGCCCACAGAAATGGAACTTGAAAATAAAACGAGAAACTGGTTGGTGGGCGAGGGCTTCATCCAGCGTGACGCACGCCTTGAACGCTACTCTCTGGCTATCAATTCGTATCGGCCAAGGCATACACATCTTTACACGTCAGTCGCATAAAGACAAGGGCCATTCAAGTAAATTCCCCAGCATACATTCAAGTTCGTGGGACCACGAGACCAAATCATCGTCATGCTCAGTGCATTGGTAGCTCATACCATTGTCCCTTTTCCAACTACAACCAAGGTCGAGGTGTGTCCGAGCGCATCTGATGCCGACGAGTTAGACTTGCAGCCTTTTCAATACGCCAAACAGCTCGAGTTGGCAAGGCTGCCTTGTTTTAGCGATGTCTCTGCAACACGACGGCAAGACCTATGCTTGGGGAGGGTCGAGCAGTGTAATGTCATATTTGAGTTTGAGAGCGCCAGCAATCCATCTTCAAAATCCATCAAGACCCTTGCGCTCAAAGAACTACAAGACCATGTCAAGATTGATGGCTTCTGTATCCAAGAGCCCATGTGGCAGCTGGTGGCCGACATGTTGCCAAGAATGTCTTCCAACCCGTGTTGCGTGTTGCAAAGCGAGAACAGGCCAACTAGAGGTGTTTGACTTTGAAGATGACGAGGGCGGACTTTGTTTTGGAAGTGGCCTGGGATCAAGTTGGGCCTGTTTATGAGCTCGTTAATGTCGTCATGCAGAACAAATTCTTCTTGGTCACAAGCATGGCTGAATCCTACATTGATGGTAGATTCGTGCTGTGACTTCTAGCCCGACTTAGATGTCAAGATGCTCGAGAACGAGGGCTCCTCAAGACAACACTACACGGCATAGACCGCGAATTCCGCAACCTCCGCACCTTCATCCGCCAGTCTATCAACGGCGTTCTTCTCCTGTTTGCTTTTTAAACCAGAAACACCATTCGGCATAGCCGAAGTCCTTGAAGTTCTCGGCTCCATCTTCAGTGGTCTATGCCGTCCTTTGAAAGACGAATACAAAGACACCATGATGCGGGTCTTGATACCTTTGTACAAGTCCCCTTTGGGCAAATACCGTGCTTGGCTCGTATACTGCATTACCCACTTACTAGCAAAGGATCATCCTCTTGCACAAACGGTATGTCAAGTACAGTCTCGATTTTTTTTTTTTTACAACGGTTGTGCTAATAAACCAGGTGGTGCCTAGGATATTGCGGTACTGGCCAAAAGCGAATAGCGCAAAAGAGGGACCATTTCTCAATGAGATGGAAGAAATACTAGAGCTTATTGATGATGAGGCATCTTCTCAGATACGGGATAAAATTTTCCATAAATTGGCCAAGTCTATAGCTAGCTCACACTCGCTAGTTGCAACACGTGTATTTCATTTTTGGAGGGATGAAAAATTCTGTGGCCGTGTAAGGGCCATATTGCTACTATTCTTCCAATAATGTTCCCATCCGTCTACGAGAGCTTCAATTGTCACTGGAATAAGTACCAATCTCTCCCTGCGTATCCAGTTGGTCCATTGCTAATTTTCGATACAGGCCTCTACGGAGCAAGATTCATGACCTGATGGAGTTCTTTATGAGTACGAGTCCGCAGCTGTTTGACGACTGCCGGTATAGCTACGCAGAAGAATGCGGCGAAGTAGTTGCCCAGGAGGCGAAGCGGGAAAAGAGGTAGGAGATACTGCGTCAGATGGCAGAAGGGTCCAGAACTTGGCGTTGTTGAAACGATCCGTGAGCTCTGCATGTTCTTGACAAGATAAGTGAATAATGAGTCTCATAACACAACAATACTGTTTACTCCAACCCCCCTTGGATGCTCTAAACTCTTTGGAGAGAGAAAATGACCTGAATTGGGGTACGTATTCCCTTGTCTCAAACACAAGTTCAAGCATTATGAGGTAGTGTTCTTGTAACGTTACGAGTCACGAGTGAATCTTGTTTTGTGGTGCACAAGCCCTCCATCTGACCTGACAGACAAGTTCATGTCATCTACTTTAGTTGGCAAAAGTCTCCAAGTCTTCCAATATAATCATGATCTTATGACTTGTAGAAATCATGTCAAGTCTTCTTGTTTAATCAAGAGAGGTATCCAGCAACTCTCTATGGCGGTCGATGCGCTGCTGGTCCTAAACTTGCTTAGTCTCTGTCGGAGTCCGGCATCTATCTGGCCCGGCTTACCAATGCGAGACCTCGGGGCCATTCGACATGGGAAGACGCTGGTATTAAAAGGAGGTGTTTTCCGATGATGGATGCTGTCAACTCCATCTGTGTTGGCTGCACCTCGAATGTCTTGACCTATCCAATCATGTGCGTGGCACTGCGTGCGAGGTATGTACATATCAGGCCACATAATCGATGAGGTGGATGGAAGACGACCCGCAAACTATGGGGACCAGGGTCTGGACGGAAAACCAGGTAGACATGGATGAACATGCCCCGCGGCCCGCCCCAATAAATTTCCCTCTGCAACTCAATGTTCTCACTGCCAGCTTGAGAGTTGCCTGCGTACAGGGGTAGGCGTCAACCTTGACCAATGTGACGTTCCGCTGTGCTTTCTCTGCTGTGACCAAGTCCCCCTGCGCTTTACAAGTGGATTTGGGAACATGTAATATTTTTGCTCTGTCACCTTGGCTGTTGACTGAAATACATTGACCCGCTGCTTCCTCGCAAATGTTAGGGAGCGATTGGCTTGTCCTTTCTACTTGATGCTGTTATTAGTCAACTTCAGAGCTGGCGAGGCACCTGCCGGCAGTTCCAACGTGAGCAGACCATAAACTGCCACTGTGTTACTGTTACACGGAAATGGCTGGTTACACAAGGGCTACGGTCACGAGACCTAGGGCAAAGACCCTCACCGACTTCTTGTATTTATAGCGACCTTTGGTCCCTCAAGGACTTAGAAAACCAAGGACCTTTGATACCAAAGACTGTTATTAAATGAATTGAGCTATTAGCTCCAAGCCCTCCTTAAGCCCTTGTCACAGGTACGGGCTGGATAGGTTGCTGTACGGAGAGTCGTAGCATGACGGCACGCTCCTGAACCACATTCTTCTCGTCGCCCTCAGGGAACACCAATATACAATGCCGGCTTACTAGGATCACAACCTTGTTACCATTTAATTGGTTTTTTTGCTCAAGCTTCCACCACCGTCTAGAGCTTGAACCTTTTTATTTGCTTCGTCTCCATCTTCTTCTCATCATTGACAGGTTCTGCACCTGTGGTTAACATAACTGCATCCGTCACTAAGGAATGCGCCAAGTTTGATCAAGTCTATGTCACGAAGACGAGTGCAAGTGTTGCGCCACCCAGAATCAGTCATTGTGCCTCTTTCAGAACGGAGGTTGAATATTCGGGGTATAATATGGAAGCCCTAACTTAGCACTCTCCGGAAAATGCTCTCATACAGGGCGATGGTAACCTCGGCCGCGGAGCCTAGGTCGTCGTGTTAAGCAAGGGCAAACATCCATCTCAACAGGCAATGCCTGGCCTAGCAAGCAAAGGTACTTGATTGACGGATCATATTCCACTTTGCCAGCTTTCTCGATTTTTAGATAGCCATCGGATTCTCGTATTTCGAGAAACTAATCAAAGTGAGTAACCAGGGTCTGGTCCAAAGAGAGGGTGCTCGCTTAAAAAGCCTGGATTGTCTTTCAGCCATTGTAGGAAGCTACATCTCCCTTAAAGACCCTGCTAATGGTATTTTATCTTTTTCGTCAAGTTGCAAATATAATCGGATGGCCCGTGTATGCCAGATCTCTCGTTGATCGAAGATGGAACAACGCCGCAGTCTTTTAAATAGCCTGATATTCTCCCTTCGTCTCCTTGCCGTAACGTACCTCAAGGTCAACGCCGCAAATATAAGCCCTTTATCATATGGGATAAAGTGTTACTGCTTACTTTGACTAAAATACTGGAATCATTAGCTATGGGATTAACTAGCTGGGTATTGCCGCGCTGGTTTACATCCTTCCAAAGCCGGTCGATTTCATTCTGGAGAACGCCTATCTAGATTGCAGCTCAAGAAGTCAAGTCAGCTAGTATCGTCTCCTAAAAGAAGCGAATAGAAAAGACAACTCGTTTCCAGGCCCCATTATCTATCTTGGTTATCGACCAGATTATTGACATTCTGTACCGCTCGTCATCACTCAGCACCCTGGTAACAGCCTCTCCCGCAAGAGTGTCTCGGCAAGTCAACAGAGCCGCAAGTTTTAGTTGTGACACAACGTTTGTTACCACAGCTGCTACTATAGGTGCTTTCTCGACGGTTAATATCGGAGCACGTAGCTTGGTTCCACGCCCCAGCAGCGGAACTGGAGATGGAATAGGTGGAATAGTGTCTATTCCGCCAGTACCAAGGGATCAGACCAGCGTGGTATTCTATCGTCAATTCTGTGCCATCCCCATTGGAGCGTATCCGTGGGCTAATACACGTTGATATATGTCCAAAAACAGTGTGCTCTTACCGCGTCAAACCCCAACATTGCCGTCCTTCCATGTCTCAAATATAACTTACAACCTTCATAGCTGCCCAAATATAAGCCAGCGCCAAACCTACTGGCAAGGAATGTCAAGAACGATCCTCTGAATAGACCTCTTACCCCTTCCACCCGCAAAACGTCTCTTGCGACAGCCATCGGACCCGGTCTGGTGGCCTCGCCTTGCTAGTCGGGGCGGCCGGTTCGTCGCCGCCAGCGGCCAATCTCATTCTTGTCTTCACAACGTCCACCGGAACCAATATACATGACGCGCAACCGGCGGCAACAGCGGCGCTCACGGCGCTGAATTTCATCTGGTACGCAATACTACGCGCCAGCTCCTTGTTGTCTCGAACCATCCTCTGCTTGAACCATTCGTGCAAGCTAAACGTCAAGCTCGTCCCAGGCAAGGAACTCGCCACTAACATGGTATACCCCGTCCACAGACGTGTCGGGTGCCTCATGAGTTGCCGTAGAGACTTCAAAACATGCGACCGTTAGTAGGGTAGCAGACCCTCTGTCGTGGAAACTTGGGCGTTTTGCTTAAGCACCTCTGCGGGATAGATGATGGCACACTCCACGAGATCAGCGGTCGCACCGCTTATCGCGTGCACAATCTGGAGAGGAATAGATACCAAGGGACCTCTGGGCTCTGTCAAACAGCGCCTTGGGGCCCTCGTAGCCTGAGAAGAACGCTGCGGACGCCGGTATTCCAGCTACAAAGTAGGTCCAAAGCCTTGAAACAGTCCGAGGGAAAGGTTGCGATGGAACAAGCCATTGAGCTGCCGATGCTGTGTCTTGTAGGTTGGTGACTGAACTCTGGTGATGATGGTGTCCATCGGATGAATCATCACGTCAACTGTGGCAACTGCAGCAGCCTGCTGTTGATTAGCTTGTTTCCTAACGTTTTAATAGATGCAGTGCACTTGCCGTAAGGACATTGCCGCCCCGTCAAATGACATGGTTGAGAATACTGGTCTCTGCTTTGCATTCCGCGGGTGGTTGTTGGATGAATACCAGTCAGCCAAGTACATTCACTGCCCTCGTCAAAACGCGTCGGGTGCCGCGTAATTTCACAACCTTGGAAATATGCCATAGGTGCGCAGGCTCATCGGACCGACGTTCAAGTCAAGGTAAGTTAAAAAAAAGAACTGCGTTGTTGAGGCGAAGCATTCACCGAGGCAGTGTTGGTTGGCCCGATCCGCGGACCCCGCCACATCCGGTGCCGTCAATATATATATGAGGTCGTCGATAATATCATGCACCATTACACTACGAAAAGATTACAGAAAGAAGAGCCAAGCCCTACTAATAAGTGGAAAAGCTTTTGCGAAAATTATGCTATTCACACAGCGGTGAGCCTCAGGTACAGCTTGTCCCCCGCCGGTCTGGATGAATACCCATCCGTCTGTTCCATACCGTCATCGTCGACAACGGATGTCGTGAAATTGGTGTAAATTGCCGCAATAATGTTTTTAATACCTAAAATTAAAAAAGTTAATTGCGAACTTTCCACCATAACACTAATGCACGTACCTGTCAGTGCGAAATTCGAGCCAATACACATGCGTCCACCACTGCCAAAGGCCCAAAATTGCCGATTCATCTGCGTCCTGTTGTCGTCGTTCACCTCTTGCGCAAGCCATCGTGTATGGTCCCATGTTCGCGCATCCGGGTATACCCTCTCGTCTAGATGAAGCGTATGCGCTAGAGACGCAATCCGGACACCGCCCGGGATGTCATATCCCCCAATTCGACAACCTGGATACGGGGTAGACCGTGGTTGTGGCCCCGGAATAGGCGCATGCAGACGAAGCGTCTCCATCACAATCGCATTCAAGACGGGCAAGGTATCCAGCTGTTTTGGGTCCGGTAACTCACTGCCGTCATGTACAGGTGGTTCCATTGAGACAAGCTCTGTTCGAAGCTGTTCCTGGACGTCGGGCGACCGAGACAGTCGCCAAGCGATGTAAGTCAGCACAATACCGGCAGTCTCATGACCAGCCAGCAGTTGATCCAGAACCTCACTGGCCACTGCCAAACTCTTCTTCTGAATAGAAGTGCTATAAAGCAACGAGGCCTGCCCTTCCGTCTTCTCTTCCTTGTCAATGCCTGCGTGCATCGCCTTGAAGACAACCGCTTCATCAGCAGGTAGATGTAGCCCCTCGACATCATTGTCCATCGATTGTTCAGTCCTGTCACACATGTTTTTGTTCCACACCCGTATTTCTTCATTGGCGTCATCGACAAATGATGGGTACAGTCGAATGCCTAGCTTTCTACATAACCTTGTCAGGCCGGGAAGTTCTTGGGGCCAGAAGTGATGACGGTGCCGCGAGAGATACAGTTGCAGCCAGCGGTCTCGATACGACGTGTCCTCGATAAAATTGGTGCTGTTTCGCATTCCGAAAACATACGATGAAATAAGATCCATCGTTGTCGCCATGAATATAGACTGTACTTCTGTGCCTTTGGCGTCGGGCTTTGCAGCTTCTCGTCTGAGCAGCGGGACGAGCCTCCCCAGCAAAATAGCCCTGCTCTGAGCTCTAGCCGGGGCTGACGCGTGGATATAGGACTTGGAGTAGACGTTGGAAATCATCCGTTTTCTGCGCGAGTGTTCCTTGGACCCCAAAGTTGAGAACACGTGTGGAACGCTGGGTCGTGTTAATAAATGCCACTCCTAAGGCTCGGTAATTGACGCACCCATAGTTATCAAAGACTCTGTACCAGTCGGACTTCTCATAACCTCCCTGATATATCGCCCGCATGGCATCTACCCCGTCTACGCTCAACGTGTTGGGCGCGACTCGAACAATTGGCCCATGCCTCAAGTGAGCTTTGAGGAGCGTCTCATTTTCTTTCGCTTGCTTTCTGGCACGCAGTATCCAGTAGTTGGACAAAGAACAGGACCAGTGTGCGGTAGGGATCCTTGCAAGCGGGCTGAAGAGTGCCGGCTGCAACACAAGCGTGTAAAGTATGAAAAGGAATGTGGCGGCAGCCAACAATATGAGTGTCTCGGTCTGCATGCTTCTAGGAAAATGGTACCAGGCTGTTCCTGTTCAAACCCACGCGCTGTGTGTCCAATACCGGTAATAATGGATGGCCACTATGGGATATTTAACTCGGTGAAGGTCGGGGTGTGGTGCGGCATATCACCCATCTATCGCCGATGGCTGACCCCGCAAGCCATGTTTCAATCGTGAGAGTCAAAGGCAGTTTCGCTGCGGTATTCGGGCCTATGCCTAGGATGGCCGTGGTGGGCCTCTTTGCATTGCTAGAGTTTGACACTCTCGGTAAGAGGTTACTAAATTTAGGTAGAATATCAGTACTCTACTGGATCAGAAGTTGATCTGATAAGACCGAGTTTTGAGTACCTGAATAAGCTACATCCAATAACAGCAGTGCTATTTTCTCCAGTTATTATATGCCAAACGACATTCTATGGGCCGAATTCGGGACAACCCATCCCATGACCCCCCCAGGGCCCCAACAAGTCGGGGTTGCACTGGACTCCTCCATGACTTCCAATGGAACAAGAGATTGGCATGGTAGTTTCTATTAAAATAAAAAAATAAAAATAAAAAAAAGGGCTAAATGCAGGACATCTAGTAACACTGTATTTTGGCCGTATAGTAGTTTCTGTACATCTGGAGGAGAATGATGTTCTTTGAAACCCGGCATTATATTATGGTAGTATTTTACAAGGCTACGTCACGCAACGGCGTCGGCATGATTCCCCCGAGTTCATCGATACTCTACCCGGTTTCAACCGCTAATACGATGCTAGTAATACAGAAAGTCTTGAGCTGAAGGTCTGAACGGCCTTTGCTATTCTAGACAGGCTAAGCTGATGTTAAACCCTTGACGCTCATTGCTAAACTACCCTCTCGCCACATCTGCTCATCGCCTCCGCCGCGGACGGCGAGGATAGAAAAAGGTATAACGGGAAGCGACACCAATAAGCGACAAAAAGGGACGGTTTCTTTAATTCTACACTAAAGACAGCTAGAGAAGAGTCCATTATGGATTGTGCGTCTGCAATCCGACAGACGAAGGATGCAAACATACGGGATTTGTGGCCACCAAAGAGGTCAACGTGAACAAGAAGAGAAAGCAGGGAATGACACGCTCCACTGACTTGAGCTGCATCACATAGCCGTTGGTCATGGCCTCATTTTTTCTCAATGTCAATCTCCTTTGCACAGGGCCCTGTCTGAGCAAGGGCAACGCATTTCATCGACGCCAGACAGACGCTTGTTGTTGGTCCATGGTCCTCGTGTTTGGAAATCGGGCTTTAGAGAGGGTTCCAAAAATCGAGACTTTCTGGAGAGGAAGGCTCGAAAAGGAGATTAGCCATGCAATCGGTCAATTTGCAGTGTAACTTAATGTAACGGTTACCTTGAGGTTAGAACGCCACTTTGAGTGAGAGCACAAGGGCTTTGTGTGACCCCTAGTGAATTGTGTAGCCGGCTAGGCAGCACTTTTGAATTGCACCTCCGTCCGATTCTTGAACTTTGACCACCTCCACCTGAGCTCCCATATTCATATCCTGCATTTTAAAAACCTATGAACTGGCTGCTATAAGTCGGTTCTCTTTTATGTGACCCTTCATCTTTCTCTCCTCCAGAACGATCATTAGCACGGCCCTTTTCCCGCTGTAGTACGACTCATTACTTGCCTACGTTAATTTGGCCCTTCGTGTAACTGAAGATCCGCTGTGCATGTGTACGCTATTGACTTCGCATGTCGCTTTCTCTGAACTGCAATGGCCAGAAATGTTGGTTCTAGTTCCCTCAATAATACGTTTACGCTAGATGCCCCATTAGCAACGCCATGTTCGTTGCATCGACGTGTCAAAGATATGCACCCATGGGATCACTTTGCCGATGAACAAGTCCACGATTGGGTAATTCCGGAAAGCCAATGAGCAGCATATATTGATCTTCTTTGGCAAAGGGTAGGGGTTAGGTAGTTTTTTTATCGTATATGTTCCAATCTCTATTTGCTTACATGCTCTATCTATGGGACATTCATGCTTTAAGGCGGTACTGGGTAATATCTTGGAAAGGTTATCGCGGCATGGGCACAAAGATCGGAAGGGGCAAGAAGGATTCGTCTCTCTCACATGGTGTATGTCATCGAATCGGTGCAAATTTGATGCGAGGTTGCCATTGAGCGACTCTCTCAAGGACAAATGCATCACATCATTAATCCAATACGGCATGAATCAGAAGATAACTTGCCGTTTTAAACTGCCTTGTCAGAACAAAGTCCGATTTTCACTTCACGACGGGCAATGCAGGTTAGTTGCGCTTCAGACAGGCACGGACTACACGGTGATCCATCGTCGACACGTCTGGTAGCCTCCTATTGGTCGGATCCCCCACTTCTCCAAAATGCGTTCAAGTCAAGGATTGATGAATATGTCTTAATGTCGTTATTGTGAATCTCTAGAAACAAACTGTACCAGGATTGAACGAGGCAACTCGATGTTTACTCAGACCTCCTCTCCAAATTCTCGTCCACTACTGTCCAATTAAAGCTGACTTGCACATTATTCACATGGCTTCCCTTGGAACAGAGTAAGTGCCTTCCGAGCAAACATATGCCGATGGTTTTTAGCTGTCAAATGGCACAATGGCTTCATTCGAATGGAACAGTCCAGTACATACTCCGATTCTGACACAGTCTGCCACTAGCTCCTCCGGCTTGGGCCCCATACGTGCGTGCATTTTCGACATGGACGGGTTGCTCATCGACTCCGAAGACATGATCACTCTGTCAATCAACGAATTGCTAACGAAGTATGAGAGGCCTTCATTTACCCGGTCTATTCGAGCCCAGCTCAGGGGAGTTCCAGACTCGCCCAACAGCGATGTGTTCCACGACTGGGCCAAGTTGCCCATCTCGCGAGAGCAATACGCCCATGAGTCGGCTGAGCAAATGGAGCTGCAATTTCGCAACTGTATGCCGCTGCCCGGGGCGGAAAGGCTTGTTGCGAACCTCAGTCGTACGCGGAATGCTTCTGGAGATGGGATCAAACTGGCCTTGGCGTCCAGCACAAAGAGCCTTACCTACCAGTTGAAAACCTCGAGGCCGGAAACTAAACGACTACTTGATCTCTTTCAGGCTGACAGGCGAATCCTCGGTGATGATCCGCGGGTGCGCAAGGACCGCGGAAAGCCAGCGCCAGACATATACTTGGTTGCATTGCAGTCGCTCAACTTGGCCGTAGATTCTGGTGAAAAGACCATCACACCCAGCGAATGCTTGGTTTTCGAAGATAGTATCGCCGGGGTGGAGGCTGGGAGGCGGGCTGGGATGAGGGTGGTTTGGGTACCGCATCCATCGGTGGCGGCTGAGTATCAAGACCGGAAGAAGGACGTGCTGGCTGGGAGGACTGGCATGTTCGAGGTGGGTGATGACTGGCAGTTGGGCGAAACTGACGACGGCTGGGCTGAAAGCATACCTAGCCTAGAGCAATTCGAGTACGTCAAGTACGGCATAAAGGTGCCATTATAAGTTTACAGCATACTTGTTATTAGTTTGCGGCCGATATGGGTCTGGAGTATGAGAGGAGTCAAGGAATGAAATTAGTTCCAGCAGCTGTCGAGCATGAGGCTTCAGCTTGTGAACCACCCAAAAATTGGCGAGAAAGACGATACGTAACCAAGTTGGTGTCAAGCTTTGTCTCGTAAAGGCTGGCATGTTCGTCATGATGCGTATACAACACAAGGAACTCTGACATGGTGAGGTCCTGTCGACGTATGATGCTGGAGATGGCTAGTGGAAAGCAGAAAGCCTCCAAGCGCATCAGAAATTGTTGGGCTATATCTGCTTCTCGTTCACTGGAAATGGTTCTAAGTTGAGTAAAAAGAGTCAGACCGTCTAGTTGTGAAAGTGGACCGAGTCTAAGCCCGACGGCCGTCTAATAAATATCAATTGATGCTTTTGGCCATTGGGTGCCGGCTAGTCATAAGAATTGATCCACTTCCCTGAGGCCAGTAGTCAGCCAGTACCATGGGGTCATCTGCGTTATCGAATATTAGCAACCATGTCGCTTCCGACTTGTATTGTTCAATTTCAAGGGGCTCCTCCAAGGCCGACAGTGTTTCCAAGGGTTGGAAAGCCATCGCTTTACGATCTCCCTGCTAACAACCTTATTCCTACGCCCAGATGCGTCTTTGAGTCCTAGGGCCAGCGAAATTTGCTGGTAATGCTAGTCGAGTTTCGCAACTTCGTCCGCCGCGACCCAGAAGTCTGAATTGAAAGACGCTTCATGACGCTGGGAGAACTCGCGCGCTATTTCTGTCTTTCCAACACCCCTAAGTCCGCAAATAGCGAATTGGCGTAGAGCTGTGAAGGATCCTGCGACTGTGTTCTTCGAGGGTAGGCGCTCAGTCGCAAGACGGGTTAGTATGTCTGCTCGTCCGCAGAAATCATGATTTATTAAAGCATATTGAGAAGCAAGCATGGAAAATTACGATATTTCCATATCTTAGTGTGTGTTTTGGCAGCATGTAGCAGCTCAAAGCCCGAAAATGACGTTCCTCCTGTCGCTCTGTTCGAAGGGAAATCTGTTTTTTTTTTTTTTGCTCGATGGCAGCTCGCTCAAACCAGCTTGCTCAACTAATGGAAGTCAGTATGGTGGCCTGCTCGGTAAAAACATAACATGCTCACCTTTATATGGTAGCTCAGTCATGGTCGGCGAATAACCGCTATCGTTGTGTATTGATACTCCTCTGCCGCCATTAGCACCTTTTCACAGCAGTAGGATGCCTTTGCATCTTACCATCATCAAGGTGAAGTGCAACCAATTGCAAAGAGTCATGGAAGGTTTCGAAAATAAACTTGTTCAACTCGGGTAAGCTTTCGCCGCCAATGCTCCTGGTGAAAAGACATGTGTCATGGTGACTGAGATTGAGTCCAAAAACTGTTTCCATTGAAGCATGTGTTAAACAAGCTCCACGCTGACCAACTTGAAATCAAGTTAGTTTAAATTACTCCAAAGAAGATCTGGAGGCTGACCAGTTGGTGTTTTGGGCGCAATAGTTTTGATGCGTTCTCCCATTCTCTCAGTTCATAGACTGATAGTACGGGGGTACGGAACGAGATCCCCTCGAATATATTTGCGAGGCTTGGTGGGATAAAACCTTCCTGCTCTAGGTGCTCTCTTGGAAACTTGATGTATTTTTTCCCGTTGTTGCTTCCAAGATATCTCGAAATCGCGTGAAGCTCGTTGTTACATCGTGGTATCATTGTGGATTACTTAAGAAGACGACGCCAGCTATAACGTTAACAACCGGTCCATAGTGAGTAAACTTTCGGTTGGCAACGCAAAAATCTAATTTCAGAATAATTCCACCCAAGCTGTGGCAGACTTCCAGAATTGGCTTCGTAGGCTGGGGAAACAATATCAGCAAAGACATGAGCAGCGTCAGGACAAAGATTCGCTACTTCACTTACTGGATCTCAATCAGTCAAAACCTCCAAAAAGTTATAACCTAGGGTCAGAATTCACTCCCACAAAGGCTTGCAGCCGGCAAAGTGCGAGGGCTATTCGAACGCTAGGACGCGTGCGCCAGTAGGGTGGCGAGCCATCTCGACTAGCAACCGGCCAGTTCTCCGGTTAGTTGGTTCCAATGCCAGGAACGAAAAAACACTAATTCAATATCACAGGAATCATTGAAGGGGCGGAGGCGAGCATACTACCCTTCGGTTTCACTCTTCTTGCGCTTGATAATACTCATGGTAGCATGAATGCCAGCTGATGGAAATATTTTGATAACTATGAGTCCTGAGGCGCAAATCCTAGGCGATATTCCGTTACCTAGTCGGAGGACTATCCGATTCTGACATGGAGTTCATTCGGTCGCAAGAATGGCTGGCATGTTCATCCGGTACGGCAGCCCCTACGATAGCAGATTCAAGGGATGGCGGGGTTCCGTGATGCTACCAACTCCTCTCTCAAATACCTCGACATACTCACTCAGGAAGGCTGAGAAGCTGGTCGACTCTTGCGGGATGGGAGTCCACGCGATGCCAAAGGCGTCCACACCATCCAGAGAGGCTTCATCCTACCACTGCACAAGCTGCAAAGACTTCTCGGCAAAGGAACAAATCGAAACTGTACCTGAATGTACTCTGAAAGAAAACTCGTTTTCTTGGCCACAATCTAACCAGGACCAAGAAGTTCCAGCCTTAGTTGATAATTCCATGACCTCGAAGCATATCTGCGAGGCTCTCTTCGTTTGGGAGTGCCTTTGCGTCGTGAAAACCTGAGGCGTTGACCCATATCGTTGGGTGTCACACGGTCAAAGCTCAACATCCTCACCGCCCAACAAAATGGCATCACCGATACAGGACCTAGAGGTTACACAGACTGAACACATGACCCGCTGGGAGCCTTAGGCACTGCTGTTTCTTTCATGTGTACATAGTAGTTACTGATCCCTTCCTTTCTTTTGGGAAACCAAAGACCTTTGACATCCTCCAAGATTATGATTCAATAGAGTCATTCCACTTCAAGCTCTTGATAATAATAAGCCCTTGTCACAGCGTGGACCTGGTTACCTATGAGCCCGCTGATGACAAGAAAATTATTAATCTCCAAAAAGAATCCAAGGGCTAATATAATAAATATTAGCTCAAGTGAATACATAGTTCGGGTTGTGATTGGCTCGCGGGTCTAGCCGTCGCTTATTTCTCCAACTGGTAGCCTTCTTTTCAGCACTGTTCGCATTCTTACTACCCTAGGTGTCTCTACGTGTACAAAGACATCCATCTAATTTTATTTGGCAGACTTCGAGTTGAGACTATCAATTGTTCTCATATCTTTTTAAGAGGCATGCGACTGATGTTATGTTTTGCTTGGCTACAGTCTTAATAGGAGCTTAGACAGAATATTAAACTGCACATCTGGTGATTAAACAAAAAGAAAGTGGGGGCTGGATGCACGGCATCTGGTAACATTGAATTTTGGCCGTACCTAGGCCGGGGAACCGTAACTGACCACGCAATACATCATAAGTACACGAATCGCGATGCGTCAGACACACTAGCCGACATGTATGAATATAAATCTGAAGAATACCATAAATCTGCTACTCTCCTTCCCGCATAAGCTAAACTACGCCGCCGAATCTCATGATCAGTTCTGTCTAAAGTGTATTTTCCTATGCCCACACTACCGAAACAGTCTTTCAGCAGCACTGATAGCTGGGAAGCTATTCTGTACTCCAATATCTATTATAGGCCGAAATACTGTGTCTAGAAGCAAACACCCCCAGAAGGCTCGGGGTCATAATTGCAAGTGTTTTGGCTGACACAGTCATCATGTTCAGGCGCGCAGCGAAAATGAAGAGATTCAAACTTCCAGCCTTCTGTCCAAAGCGTACGACACACACCTCGACTAGTGTAGCCATAGCCAAACCATTTGCCTTGGCATCGGGGCTGCTCCCAGTAGCTTACTTGCACCTGACCATCTGGGCAGCTACCTGCAGCAGCTACGTTGAGAGAAGCTACTTGACAGTTGGTGTCGATACATACGCCTTCATTTACGCTGTCATTGGATAAAGTGAAGTTATTATGGAGCGCACCGGTGCAATCAGCGTGGTAAAAGGCCTCGACCTGGAACTTTGCAGGAGTGCCCACGCAGTAGTAGTAACCACCCAAGAGCCCACTGCAGTCTAACTTGGTCACTCATTAGTACTATCCTACATGATCAAGGACGTCATGTTCAGATAAGGGGAAAACTGACCATTCTTCACGGGGGGATTCCACTTGTAGCTTTGCTCGAAGTTAGGGGGCGTGTATATGTCTCGAAGATTGGTTATGGACTTACAAGTCGCCTAGACTTAATCCTGCGTGTTTGTCTACAATTCGTTGGCATGTGTCGCCGGGCTTAGCTTGGTAAAAGCTCTCGCAAGATTCGATGATGCCATTTTGAGTAGGAGATGGCCAAGCTAGAGTTGTTAATAAGCAATGTAACTGTTACGGGATACTAATTGTATTCCGGATCTCACCTTCATTTACAGCGACGCAGTACGAGCGACCCGCCTTGATGTTGCTACAGTCTTGTCGTAGGAAAGGATTCTAAATTTGCCCGTTAGTAGGGGTGGGGGATACCGCTATGTCTAACCGACGCTCACCAATTTAATCAAGTCTGCAGTGCCAATATTCCAAGCCTCGGCAAAGCTCTGGCAAGTATCGCCCTTGCTAAACGTCGCAAAAGAGATGCATCGAGGGTTGCTACCCGGGTCTGAAGCATCTCGTCGTTCGGTTGCATGGCCCCAAGGGTCCAACGAATTGTCATTTGTGATATTGAAGACTGGAGTTTGTGGCTTCACACAAAGACTGCTGCCCCATTTCACATCGTGCAGGTTCATGCAATCCGTCTCCAAACCTTGGTTCCAATCACGGAGCTGCCTTTCCGAGATCGAGCTGGCGACAGAGATATCGAAACAGGTATCTTCCTGTTTGACATGCCAAAGTGATTCACATGGCATGGGCAGGCACAACTCGGTGTCTACGGGAATTTTTTGACAATCTGGAATCTCGGAGTTGATCCAATATAGGGAAACAGACGACACGTTAGAAGCCACAGAAATGGAATCACAAGTGTCGCCGTCTTTTGCAGTATATGTTGTGTTAGAAGCACAGATGCTGCCGGGTTCGTCGATGTTTACGTGCATTCCGCCGGTTGCCGGATCAAATACCGCATCCTTCTTGCCACAAGCTGCTCTCAATTAGAACTTGACATTTCTTTCCAGAGACGGGAAGTGGAGGAAACACACTCTTTGCTACAAACTCATACTGCTCCCGCACGAGAGCATCGTAAGCTGAATAAGGAGACTTTTGCATCATAGCTAGTCTCTCAATGTTGCAGTGCGAGCAAAGTTCTGATTCCTTCATGGAGTCCAGGTCTTTAACGGGTGCGAAATTCGCGATGACTTCTACATGTCCATGTTTAGCTTATGACGAAAGTTGTGCGGTTGACTTCATACCATTGCAGTAATCTCCAGTTGATGGATCCGTGAAGCACAATTCTTCCCATCTGTCCCGGAACAAATCAAACATTCCAATGGCAGGAATGCCTTCGGCCAGATCCGGAGTGTATTCACAAGCGGCACTGACGCTGTCGTGAACATAGTTGATGGAAGCATTGCAACTGCTTTCACACATGGACTGTAGAAGTGTCGGGTTGTTGATTGGACTGATGTAAGGGGAATCCATAAGTCTTTTAGTCGCATCGTGGCATTTGATTGATTGATACAGAGCCGCCTCGCACGCAGGGCTAACAGTGGTTTGCCGCAGCGAGCCTTGTTCGAAAATAGGCCACCCGACAAAAGTGACGCCTATTGTTTTCTCGGCTCCTGCTAGCCAAGCCAGAATAGAAGAAAGGAATCCATTTTGATTTTCAGCAGCCAGAGTGGCTGGATAGTTCATTGGACTAACCATTTCGACCGTAGCCTTGGTGGCAAGTGAGTATATCCATACGCCGAAACTCTGCTCAATTTGAACGCTGGCAGCTTGACAGTCCTCGGTAGCAAGACATGTTTGCGAGTAGTCTGAGAAGAAACTGTAAAGCCCAGCACAGTATATAAATACATCGGTTGAGTGAATGAGGCGGAGGGCCCATGCCATAGCGCATTGTGTGGAGGATGCCGAACAGTCCTTAAATGTAGGATCGTTGGGGAAAATACCAGGACTAAATGGAGCTGGCGCGTGGGGGGAGGGCTGATAATATGGCGTTTCTGTCTGTATCATGCTTAGAAACACCTCCTTCGCGTCTGAAAGTTGGTATTGGTACAAGACATTATGCTCTGAAGCAGTACCCCATAGCCAGGTTGGCTTTTGGCTCTCGATCAGAATACCTAGTGTTTTTCAGTCAGTTATTATACGAGCGCTGTAACGGAAAGCTCAAAAATTGGCGGGCTTCTTACCTCGCCCAACGTAGATGTCAATTTGAGTTTGATCAGGAGTATCGAGGTCGTGATCTATAACCTTGTAAGTGCCTTTTACTCTTCACTCGAAATCACTCTTCAGGACTTACCAGCGGTCCAAGCCCAAATATTCTCCAAGTATGCGCTGGAAGAAGGCGTGAGATGTAGGAGAAGTGCTGCTCCAATACAGTTCTTATTCACGTTTCCCGTCTTCTTGGGGCATTCTCGTGCTTGTAAACCGCTCTGAGAGGCACCACCAACCCTGATCGGGGAGTCTAAAAGCCCAGGTTAGCTGTAAAGAACTCAAGCAAAGACCTTTCTACATACTCCACATGCAAGCTGAGCCTTGAGTGCTTTGCTGAACGTTCCATTCCACCACGACAGCTCCAGCTGAGCCAGCGTATGTAGTGAAAAGCATGTCGGAGATTTCAATGATTCCCGCATCACCTGGTTGACTTACGCGAACGACTGGTCTCGGAAGCCGCTCGTCTTGGAACGCCTTGCCGGCTCCAATAATCTGAGGCCAGACTTGACCTACGATTCTCGAGCCTACCGGGATGTTGACAGTGTCGGAAACGAGATATTCGCCGTATGGGAAGAAGACGACGGAACTGGTGTTTGCCGCGTACTCTAATATCTGATTGATAATTGCTGTGTCATCAGACTTGCGATCGCCTTTGGCACCCATGGCTTTTATATTGATGAAATTAGAGCCAGGAACGTTCTTTCTCCGGAATATAAGCGACGACTGCCGGACAGATGTCGTCTGGGCCCGGAATGGCAATGTCTCTTGCTGGCCGAACCTGGGACACGGGCGTTTTGGTGCCAAACTAATCATGGGCAAGGCGCCGCTCCAGCCGGATGATGGGAACTTTTACACACGCCGTATTCGCATGGCCAATATCACAGGCTTTGGAGGCACCGATTATATACTTCCCCCCGACGGCTGCGCGATAGTATATTATTACCAATGAGGCAATAGCTGGAGTGACGAATACCGGTTGCCTTCAGTTCCGCCTCTGGATGGCCTTTGCACCGTAGACGTGTTCGACATCAGCGGACGAGGGACACAATGTCTCTGTTGGGCTTCAGACCCTCAAGCCCACAACAGAACGGTAGAAGCAGCGACTGTCCATTTCGGGATCTCATGGGTGGCATTCCACCCGGACTCCTAAAGAAGTGCAGCAATGGTATACCGGTGGAATGCATGGCTACGTTCCGTTCCCCCGTCCGGTACGGTACTGTCGCAAAGATGAGGAGAATGGCAGACCGCGGATCACGAAACCACTGTTTCCGTTGAACTGTATCGCTAGTACGACCTCGGTTGATCATGTGGCTCAGATGTCCCAGGCCGTTTCGTATTCATATCATAGCGGTTACTACGATCCGATTGAACGCCAGTTTCGTGGCTTCCAGATGGTCGAGCAATGTGAAACAGAAGACTTCGCGGGGGACGTTCCCAATGACCAATTTACAGGCCCGCCAGTAGTTACCAGAAGCTGGTTCTATATTGGCCACGAGCTCCTTGACATGGAATCGGTACTTCCCTACGCTAGTCAGGTAGTTGATGGTCCGAGACCTACATCCAGTGCAAAACTCCCTGACAGTCTTACAGGTGTGGAACGGCGTGATGCCTACCGCTCACTAGCGGGAAAGCGCCGTCGACAAGAGATACTTTCTGCTGACTCTGAGGAAAAGACGGATCTGCCATGTACCATATCGCAACAATCATACGAGGTGGCGGTTTACCAAAGGCATAGTGCAGCAGACTTGATATATTCCGAGTCATTCCGCGGGAAGAGATTAACATAGTCTATGAGATGGAGAAGGAGGAGCGGGGATTGCAGCAGACACTCACCCTCTCAACTGATAAATACAGTCACATTAAGAAGCAGCTTATAGTCAGCTATAGGAAACCGACTAGCGTATTACTTAGACTGGAAGATTGGCAAAAGCAAATGGAGACGTCTCTTATTTACACTGAGATGAGCTATACTAATGCGATCGACGATATAAGCAGCAAGCCAGATTATTTCCAGGTCCTAATTAATTCGGAGACGGTATAGTATTATGTTTAACCAGGCAGCGGCTTTAACGACGCTGCAACAGATGGCCGGTATGAATGGGAGAAGCTAGCTGCCAACAACTGCAAATTATAAATCGGCTGGTTACAAGGCACTCGTCTGAAACACCGGACGTTATAACTACTTGGGGAGTAATATGCAAGGGCCCTTGAAAATAGGGTAGCTGGAGCCGTTCTCCGTGAAGTAGCAGAGCCATCAGCTCGCGGGTAAAACAAGCCTCTTTTCCCGGGTGTTCGCTCACCCGGGACAAGGGATACTGCTACCATCGACAGTAATAGAGCAGGAGCTTCGCAGTGGAGGACACATCGAACTCGAGGCCAATACGTGGTGGGCGCCATCAACGCGGGATATATTTGGAGATGACAGTCTCAACGGCGGGCCTACTGCGGCGCCGCCGCATTTTTACCTCCCTAATAGAGCAGTTGATCCCATTTTGAAGCAAATCATGGCAGCATCGGGACAGCTCCAGCTTGCTGACGATGTCGAGCGTTGACGCCGTGGGAAACACCACCACCTTCGGTAACAACTATACCCGTCTATTACCGACATGCATTACCGACGCAAATGACAACGTGACCGAGTTTGCGGCCGACTCGCTTGGGCGGCGTGTCGGACTGGCCGTGATGGGTAAACGCGGGCAGGCTTTCGGGGATAGCCTAGACCGCTTCTCGGCGAATCTAACCGACGATCAAGAGGAATACTTCTTGAAAAATCCGTCGTCGGCAGTGGCAGATCTGCTGAAGAATGCCGGACGGCGGGCGATACGCTGCCCTGGCCGGAGTCAGAAGAGAACTCCGGCATGGCAAGCGGAACTCGTGCGTGACACGCACTACAGAGATGGGAAGGGCGACATTTCGACTTCCATCACGTATCTGGATGGCAAGGGCCAGGCGGTGCAGACGCTCATTGATGCCTTTCCAACAAGAACCAAACCGCCACATGGCAGGTTGGCAGTGCTGTGACCTCTGTCACGGGACAGCGCGTCAAAGAGTCAAGTTCCTTCCCTTCTTTAAGCCAACCCACGAACTCGGCTCCCAGTCCGAGATGGCCAGCAGGCCTGCCACTACATTCCTGCTGGACCCCTGGACCGGGTTGTGGGAGTGTTGAACGCGGACCAGACCTGGAGGAAAACGCGAATGACGCCGTTGTCCTAAGTTTCTTATGATGCTGGCGACACCGTCCTGTTGAGGATCCTAGCACAGATGAGGACAACGGGGACTACTTTTAGGGCCTCGGCAGAGACTCCTACTATCCTACCTGGTATTATAAAAGAACGACACCGAACACCACTAACAAAGAGAAGAAGGCAGCAAAGAAATCTGAATGCTACAACGACACCCCAAAGCTTGTCCATCCAAACAATGGTATCGGAGGAGATTCCCACCGAGACGAGCAACAGCGTTGATGACATGCGTAGATGTAGGACGAGGTATGAAGAGAGTGGCAACATCTTGGCTCAAATGGATAACCTGGCGCGTATTGTGACGCAGACCCGGTACGATCTTTTGGGACGGCCGATACATGGCGCGAAAATGGACAGCGACGACCGCTGGCTTCTACCAGATTGTAATGGCCTAGCGGTGCTCTCATGGTCGTCCGGGGACCACGGGAGCGCACTGTATACGATGCGCTCTGGAGAGTTGCGGCCATTAAAGTGCATTTATCTAAAACAGGTGAAAAGGAAGCGATGGTGGTCAAGAACGAGTATGGGGAGAGCTACAAGCAGGATCTCAAGGCCAATAACCTACGAGGTCAGTTCTATAAGTGTTGGGATCAATCGGGTGTTCAGAGTAATATCCGATTCGACTCCAGGGGCAACTGCATAGAGTCTGCTATTCAATATGCCGCAGAGCCCGGTAGCATTCTGGACTGGTCAGCGGAGATTGGGGAGCTGAATTCCACCGAGTATACAACAGGGTCATCCATTAATGCGATAGGCCGCGCCTGGCATATCGCTACGGCGCAGGGTGATGGTATCATTAATACCTTCGACGTGGCTGCGGTTGAAGAAGGTTCCTACTGCTGCTAGCAAAGACGCTGGCATTACCACCTCCCATGTTGACAATATCGAGTACGCCGAGGGCAAGGAGGTCACATCGATAGAAGACGGCAACGGATCGCGAGCACTTCACTCATAACTCATATCACCCCTTAACGCGCAGGGTTGCAAGGACCCAAATCACTCGCTCTGATGGTACTTCTCTGCAGTATATTTCCTACACATACGATTGTCTTGGAAGGATCGTCCAAAATGTCGATAATGCCCAGCAGCCCGTCTATTTTAACAACCAAGTTGTCAAGGCCAATCAAGAATTCGTGTATGATGCCCTGGGTCAACCATGCTCGGCAACGGGTTGAGACATGGAACAAGTTGATGTCCCAGGGCATCGCCTGGTGCCTCATGGTCTTACGCTAGGACAGCCGAACGCGATTCCTGGGGATGGGAGTCGATTGATTGAGTATTGCGAAACGGATAGGTACGACGCTGTTAGCAATATTTATGGAGACGAAGCATACACCAGTAGCCGATGCTACGTACTCGCCATGGACAAGCTCATGTCCCGGAACTGGTTCACTGCCGAGTGATGCAGCGAGAGGCGTCACCTGAAACATCGCCTTCAAGATAAACACCGTCAAACAGCCGAAAACGAACTCGAGATTCTTACACACATTTCACAGTCAAATAGACGACATGAAGGCAGGAGTTTTGTTACAAGACTTAGGCCCACCCCCAACATTGAAAACACCAGACATGATTGATGCTTGTTTCTGATTGGAGAGTATCCATGTTTGTCACCTTGATAGTTAATCTTCCCCCACTTTGAAAACTTTAAGCTTGGCATCTAAGACGTGAACAACAGGTGGGTTGAAAGTCCCTGGGCAAATACCTGAAAGTCGAGCTTTTGAAAATATCGTACAAATCATAAGTCCCCGGGGAAAGGGCAAGTTGTTGGGGAAAATGGTAAGACACTGATGAGGTCTGGTGGGACAATACAGAGAGAGGCACGGCCTGGGACCTACTGAAAAGACCCAGGTGCCATCAAATGGCCTTCAAATGTTACGGGGATTAGTCAGACACGCCTGGCATTATTAAGCATGTGCGGACGGAGAGTATATCTCATTGGTGCAACGCGGAGCACGACTCCTAGAAAAGCCCCGGATTGCTGGTCTGGTACACTCCGAGGCCCACATATTAGGCGCATAAACTGGGAGTAGTTCGATTTATAATCCGGGAATCGGCCGGATATATAAGGGTGCTTGGCCTCTTAGCACCATGTAGTGAAATAGCGCAGCCAACCCCCTCTCCACCCACCCTATCCATTCCCAAGGCTACAAACTACACTTGACAGCTTCAAAAAAGAAGATGTCTTTGCCCGCCACCCAGAAAGCAGTCGTCATCCAGGGCCCGGGAGTGGCCAAAGTCGTGACTGACCGACCCATCCCCAAGCTTCGTGATGGCTTCATCCTGGTCAAGACGGTGGCGGTTGGCCTGAACCCCACAGACTGGAAACACGTCGATTACGTAGTGAAGGAGGCCGGCCCCGTAGTCGGCTGCGACTATGCTGGAGTTGTCGAGGCCGTTGGCGCGGGCGTGACGAAGCCGTTCAAGAAGGGCGACCGGATCTGCGGCATGGCCCACGGCAGCAATGTTGTCCAACACGAAGACGGCAGCTTTGCCGAGTACATTGTCGTCAAGGGCGATGTCCAGATCAAAATCCCCGACAATCTTAGTTTCGAAGACGCCGCGACTGTTGGCGTCAGTGTCGTCACGGTTGGGCAGAGCTTATACCAGGCCCTGGGTCTTCCTCTCCCCTCCGAGCCCGCCAGGGACGCGGCTCCCATCTTGATTTACGGGGGAAGCACCGCAACCGGCATATTTGCCATCCAGTACGCCAAGTTGTCCGGGTACAAGGTCATCACCACTTGCTCCCCCCGCAACAACGACCTGGTCAAGGCTCTTGGCGCCGAGGCCGTCTTCGACTACAACGACCCGGAGTGCGCGGCCAAGATCCGCGCCTACACAAATGACTCGCTGGCCATTGCTTTCGACACAATCTCCTTGGCGGACTCGGCCAAGATTTGCGAGGGGGCGTTGGCGTCGTCCCCGCCTCCGGGAACTACTCTCAGATACCACGCTCTCCTTCCCAGGACGACTGCCCGCAGTGACGTTACGGACACGCGGTCCTTGGCTTACACGGCAATTGGGGAGGCATTCAGGTTCTCCGACGGGCCCAAGCCAGCTGTTAAAGAAGATTTTGATTACGCCGTCAAGTTCTTGGACTTGTCGCGAGAGCTGCTTGCGTCGGGGAAGCTCAGGGTCCCGCCGGTGCAGCTGGGACAGGGTCTGGAGGGCGTGCTGGACGGTATGCAGGCTTTGAGGGAGAACAAGGTCAGCGGCAAGAAACTAGTTTACAAAGTGTAGACTGGCAGTAGACTAGGAAAATAAATACAAGCTGCAACGATTTCACAACCATCGATTTACTTGTGTCGGTCAAACGACCCGGCCCACCCTATTGCCAACAGGGCGATGACCAGACTTGGATTACTTTGCCGTGTGAATCCGGAACGATCCCCCAACATACATCAGGCCACAAGTCGTTTGTCAACTTTGGGAGGAAGCCGTGAGAAGATGACATTCAGTAATATCTCAGAGAGTCATGGGAGGCAAAGTCTACGGGTCCCAAAGTATTCTACTTCTTGCTCTCTTTGAACAATCAAGTTCCGTTCCGGCTACTTTCATGTGTTCTTTATAGCCTTTAACGAACCGTCATGTGCCCATTTCACAAGCGCACTTGCTCTCCACGCCTCCCACCCTTCTTCCTCCCCCCCTCGCTTGACTTCTTTTCCCCTGTGCTCCGGATCGAATGCCCGCTTAAGACCCATGAAAAGACAGGCAAACGTCCTCCTGTCCTCGTGTGACGTCCCAGGGCCGAGGGCGAACAACAGCCTCTGCACCTTGCGCCCATCCAGAACACAGCGGGCGAGGTCCTCGCGGTCCCTCTCGCGGAATACGCGGGCCAGCAGCAATTCTTCTTCTACCAGCTCGTTGGAGCCGTCGTAGAACGTCGCCACCGGCCACATCATGCACGGCGAGGAAAAGGCCTCCTCCCTGGACGCCGTGCTACACCACTCCCAGTCGATGATGCCCACGATGTCAAAGTCGGCATTTACGAAGATGTGGTCGCCCTTGTCATCGGCATGCTTCAAGAAGAACTTCTCGTCCTCTTCCACTGCAGCCGTCTTCCACACTCTGTCCAAAACGTCGAGTCGGAACCGGTGGGCCAGCCAGACGTCGGCGGCGTTCTCGACCGTCTCGACTCTCAACCTCCCCACCGGCGATCATCCCGAGGTGTGCCTCTACGAGGACACGGAAAGCCTCCCGTGATGAGCGGAACGGGCCCGGCGGCCCATCGTCCACACCGCACCAAAAGGTGGAATGTTGCGCCAGACCGCGGACCTGTATCTCGGCCGGCGATGCCACCTCGCCTCCGGACATTGCCGATGTCGCCACCAGGGATCCGAACCTGTCAAAAGGGTGTCTCTCGATCTCAAGCAGTATGTCTGCGAGCTGCCGCACGACCTTCTCTCTCTGCGCGGTGGTTGCGCGCTGCCAGTCCAACGACGTGCCCTGCAGCTTCTCCATCAGGATATAGCCAACACCCACCGTGTTGGCCGGATCCGACTCGCAGGCCCAGTCGAACACGCGGGGAGAGGGGATTCGCGTGTGGCGCTGCAGAAACTCCATGGTTGCGGCTTCACTCCGCAGCACGTAGTCACGCACCTCCAGCGGCGGCGAGATGGGACTGGACAGTCGGAATCGCGCGAGCCACACGACACCGTCTGCGAAGACGACCTCGGCATGGCAGTTTTGCCCGCCCATCATGGTCGAAAGCTCTCTGGGGAGAGGTCAATCACGCATGGCACGTTGGCGGCACTGCGCGCTCGGGATGCGCGCTCGCATAGCCTCCCGCCGTTGATGCGTCCACACAGCTTTTCCAGCCGCCGGGACTCTGCTGCTACGTACCGAGCGCTATACTCTTTCCAGTTGGTCTGGTTGGATAGTAAGTAATAATTTCATGGAGCAGAGCAGGGAATTTGAGGTGCTGGAAGCACTTACTTCTGGCTTCGGACCGGTATGCCATTGGTCCTGCAGATGAGTCCGGCAGAGATGGCTGTCGCAGAGCAAACAATCCCCGGCTCGTTGAACGGCTGGCGATTGACAATCTGCCCAATCACATGACCATAGAGGGGACATCATGGAGTCCTTTAAAGTGATATGTCCAACAAAAAAGAAGCACAATGGTAATCATCTCATCGACTGGCTGTTATGGCAAGTGGAATCTCATGACATGGCTGTTGGAATTGAGCGTTGTGCTTTGTCAATAAACGAGTTCAATTAGGCAACAACAGAGGGTGGGTCTCCGTGCTTGAGTAAACCAATCAACAAAAACCTAGTCCAATACAGCACGATGCATCGCCAACATTTCATCCCGAATCATGGTTCCCTACCTGTAGCGGAGATTTCCCCGAACCGAGAAATATGGACGGACCAAGGCAACTGATAAAGAGGCGGTGTAATTAATACTATTATGGTACATTACAGCGTTGAGGAAGGGAGAATTCTTGCCGTGCTGACATGCTGTTAACGACAAAGTCTCGTGAGAGCCTTTATAAGTTATAAGAAGGCGGCAAATCATTTTATTTTGCTATAATACCTTTTTTATTCACAATGCGAAGGAGAGACCCTGGAGTTGCATTGGATCTGCGCCCCTATGATGATGACCAGACAACCCACGAGTAAAAGACTATAACTAGCCGTCTGGTGATTTGGCTAAATTTTTCCGACGCCGACATCTAGTCCATTTTTCAGAGAACGAATAAGTAGTATGCAGAGCCTGCAATATCACTCTCTCTAGCAAAACGCCTCTAGAGAATCATGATTCCACCTGCCAGTCGGCCACACCATCCGGCCGGCCACCTCGAAATCGCATATAACTAATACTTTTATCCCCATGCAGAAACCACGAAGCACAAATAAATCGTCATTGTCTATCTTTGAATGTATTTCAAAGAGCATTCAAAAGGTTGGACAATCTGAACCGACATATACGTGGTTACGGTAATGAAGCACACCAGAAATTCGCTCCAGCTTTGGATAAGACAAGATGCCAACCACCCTTGTGGCAAGGGCTTCAAAGAACCATGGGACCTTGTGCGGTGTGAGAATTGCAAGCATAATAATAACCATTCTTCGGGAGCTTTTGGATCATCTTCTAAGCACTCAGGGCCACAAGATGCGGCACCGCTAGAACCTAAGCCGTAAGATTGCAGCCCTGCCGAAAACCGGCTATACCAATGACGGCGTAGTTACACATCGTTGGGTCAGTCTTCTTCAATTTAAAGGCCACTCGAAACTTGAAAGATATGAAGGCAGAACGGAAGAATACAACTCATCTCAAACAGCGGTTTTCGTCAGTCTAGAGTCATGCGTAATAACAGCGTCGGCCAAGGCTGTCTCGACATTTTTTACTTCTCCTTCTCACTACTTGTAAAAGCTCATGGTTCGAGACGTCAACCTGCAACAGGGAATTAGTTGAAAACTCCACAATTTGAATAAGTCTGCATTTGATGATTGCAAATTGCCCAGATCAGGCCCCATACAGCCGACACGATGACACACGATGCTCACAACGAGTCTACTCTTGGTGCTGGTAGCGACTTCTTTGGTAGTAACCTGTGCGGACCTTGCCTTCAACTCCTTGATCAAGTCAACTTGGCTCAAAATTCAAGGAATGCTTATACAGCTGGAGCATGCCAAAATAAGGGTAGTTTCTCACGGTCGGGGAAGGAGACTCTAGATTCGTCAGCGTTGTGTGAGAGTAATTCATTACATGGGAGAACGGCAAGGCAACGAGAGGAATATTTGACATGTCGACATGCAGTTTGCCTCACTTTTCAAAATGGCGCGGTGGTTGCATCTGTGACTCTGTGCTCATCTCAGCGGTCCAGCCGTGTAAGCAGAGCCTGTGGAGGGTGGCAACCAACATGATCAGCTGTTTTAGCTGGCCGGTCAAGGAATAATGCAGCCAGTTCGAGCTGAAAACTATGAGACATTCTGACGGCAGACATATTGTTGGAACCACGAGCCCCTATATCTTCAGCCATGGCTTTCAGCTATGCAGCAAACATCCTCAAACTCGCAGATATCTACGGCAATATACAGCACACGCGGATAAGTAGAGAAAAGCTGTACTCTATTGGCTGAGTAGGGTGACCACCTTACCCGACTCAGTCACCGACTTCCTAGTCTGAGAGTTTTCGTGACTGAGGATGCGGAGAAAGATCTGAGCATGCCGTCGTTGCAATGTAGCACTAGTAACACCCTACATCGCAGCCAAGCCAGTTGTCTCACAAGTGCATAAAGGCAACTCCATGCTTTGCAGTCAGGCAATTTGTCTCCCGAGTGCAGAGAGCCTGGGCACAATGTAATGTACGTTGTCGGCTTGCACGAAGCCATGAAACAACTAGGCAGGATTGACGCCCGTAAAAAGCCACGAGGCATTTCGACTGCAGCCGCAGCCTCTACCTTTGGTGAAAAACGTTGCATTTCGTTCTGGAATCAGCCGTTGGCTTGGGTGCATTCCCCGGCTATTCAGGACTGATTTATGTCCTCTTTCACGGAGGCAGGCGGCCGAGGGCCATGAAGATTGGTAGTTCAGAATTCATTGTTCGAGCGTGTTGCTTTGGGTCTTCATTATGGGAACCGTATAATAACAGGTCTTTCCAGGTAGCAGTTTCAATAGAACTTGTCATGCCGCTATTTTCTCATCCGCTGACCGAGCTTCTCAAAGATTTTTAAATACGAGCGCTTTTTAAAGCTACTCTGACTTGTCATTAACTTATCCTAGCCGTAACGCTAACGGAGGTACGTGCTAATGATGGCTACTTCTGTTCACCTTATTAGCACTACAAATCAGCTACCAGGGAGCTTCGTGCCAAGTATAATCAAATATGGAAGAGCTTACTGGCCATCTTGTCGAGTCTTCCGCCTATTATAGAGTCTGACCGTTATTGATACCCCTTGTCAACTCCATTCACATAGTTGTTTTTAGTTGAACACGATGCCATATCATTTGCAGACACCAGCCTGCGCCTTCCGTAAATAGCCTACATCGCTCGTATCTCTATCCTGCAAAATAAACGTAGGCCTCTCATCTCAAGGCTATTTTTCTCCGCTGTAGCGTTCAACAGTTTTTTTACGCAATTAACAGAGGAGCCTTAAGTTCTTTTCTTGCTAAGCCTTGGGGGGGACTCTTGCTGTTTTTGCACTTGTAGACAGTGCAGCGGACTGTTCTTGTACCTAAAGTTTCAGACTCGGGGCTAAAAAACGTACGACTTCGTGCTCAAGGCTACTGACAGCCTCATTCACGCCTTTTCGAAGAAGGGGTGTGGACTGAAGATATGGGGGGTTAACACGTTACTCGGTACTGCATTGACGTTCTACCACGCAATACCACAGAATTCGACAAATAAGGAATGTTATAGAAATTCTAAGATAGGATACCTTGGAGACCTCTTAAATCTTAGAACCAAGCAGTGTCCACATATTATTCAACTCCAAATGCCGCCATTAGAGGCAAAAACCTGTAGTAAATGCCGTAAACTCCAGGGTCCGGCATCAAAGAAAGGTTATGTAGTTATTCGGCCCCTCGGCATTGTAGTTCCTTCCCATGGCTGCATGCCGGTGTGGTCGTACAAGCACCTGCAAAATGCAAGTCAGCCATGAAGGCTACGGTGGTCGTGTCCTGGCCTGATTGGTGAAAAATATCACAGAACAAACACTGTTACTAGCAATTATGCCGCCACATGTTGACGAGGCCGGGATAGCTCTTCGGAAGTTGTCCGCGGCAGCTAGTCTCTCTGTCATGTCGGCAGGGAAAGCTTGTCTCGGTTTCAGCTCAAGCCAGCCGTTTTTCAACTCTAACCAATGTAATGGGTTTATTGATTGTTGGCTTTCTCACATTTGTGTGAGCTTGCGCCATGAGATGTGATGGGCATGCAATGAGATGTCATAATAAATCTGGCTATCAAGGTTCACTGACATATGAGCGGCCAAACAAGAAACGCAATACGGACAAGTCAGCACAAAGTAAACATATAAGACGGCAGAATCCCTTGGACAAGATCTTCCTGATGAGATCATCCTCCTTTCGTCTTGGTATTGATAGCAGACATCTCGCCAACTATAGTGGCTTTTGTACATTCAACTGAAACCCAGCTCTTGACTTCTCATACAACTGATTCATTACAAAAGAAAGATGAAGAAATTCTTGGCCATCGTTGCAGTGTTACCTTGCATTTTAGCAATCAATTACCGGGATATCTGGCAGAAAGATCTCCCTGATGTAGCAATGGCGCCTATGGGATCTCATAGATTCTGCCCATTCGATATAACAGGCCGGGTGCGTTTATTACAAAGACACGCTTTTTTATGCTTAAAAGACTAAGCTAATAGATATGTTGATCAAATAGCCCGAATGTGAGGGCAAGGCATGTGATCGTGCCCATCCTTGTGACAGACCTTGCCACTGTCTTCTTGGGCCGGTTAGGACTCCCCATAATACCATCATTCCCAATATTCGGTACAAATGCTGATAAATCGCATAGGACCATCCTACCGGACATTGCAGAGCGCTTCCCGATGAGGCATGAGATGTTTTGTATCTAGCTCAGCGTTGATTGATTGGTAGGTAGGCAATTTGGATACTTCAGCCCGGGCACCAAACGCGCTTGATGAACCCAGCTGGTTTGGTAAAGCATTCCTGGCCTAATTTCCACAGTTCTATTTTAAAATCTCCATTACCATCTTATAATGAGTGTCATGATCAGGTTGTCATTAAAGGGAGCATAATATGGTACTGCTTGGAGGCCCCGCAATGATAAGCCTACTGTTTACAGGGCAGATTAGTGTTTTACAAAAGTTAATTCTTGTTGGATTCCACCCCTTTGTGTAAAAGATTAAGAGCCAGTCTATTAGCAATAAGTTTGTCTGTCGCTTACCGGCGTAAGTAATCACGTCGTGAGATATCTCGCGAGGGTCTTCCAAAAGTAGCTGTCAGCCTAGAAGAAATGCCATCTTTTAGCCGGTACAACATGTCGTGATGTTGAATCCCAAAGATCAAATTCCAGCTTTGCTCCTGGAGGGAATAATGGCATATACTTCGATGACAAAATAAGGGTATGACAGGCCCGAGAAGAATTAGCAAGAGTCGTGGTCAGCCTGTCATCTACTGACTGATCTAAAACGCCATATAGAAGTGCTCTGGTCCAGAAAAAGCGTCAAGATATTCGGCAAAGATTGGTTAAGTAGGCCTCCTTTCATCCCCAAAGATAATTAGATATCTACATAAAGCAGCTGGCAGTTGGGGCCAAGAACTTTCATCTAACCTTGCGTAAATATGGCCGCCTAATTTCTTGCATGTCTGACTGCCATCATGAACCAGCCCATACACAAGGTTGGACATTGGTCATCTAAGATTGGCCCATTGCCATTGAGATGGCAACACAGGATACTGGAGGAACGCAGTTACACTACGCTTTTGTTGAGAAATAAATCTCATTTCGGCTTTACGCACCAGCCACGGCTCTTTTCAGGCAGAAAATGGGCACATGGTTTTCATATACGACTCTGCTCTCTGAGTTGTCGCGGGCAATGAGTTGTGAGAGCCTGATGCAACTGAAGATGTCATGGGAAGCTGTACCGACCAAGTCTGGAAGAGCTCCTCTTGTCCATCAGTCTGTCGGGAGCCCGGTAATTGTTCTAAATACTTTGCGGAATGCTGAGAACCTGGTTTATAAGCTTGTTTTGGTGAGAGGAGTTGTAAAAAGGTGAGAAGGCGAATCTCTGATTACAAGTGCATGATACTCACATTGGCCTTTGATTTGTCGCGGCGTTAGTATGCTTACCAACAGCACAGCACGTATGTCGAGCTTCCCCTTCAATCACCACCACCATTTGAATCAATCCTACTTTGACTAATAAGCCTATGTCCGAATCGTCGCTACAAACTTCAGCGGCAATATCGCGCGCGCCAGAGCCCACCGTGACTGGCCCATACGGTTATGAGCCTGCGACAGATAACAGCGCAAAAACTGTCGGTGGGACGTTGGTGGACTTGCAATAATATTGATCGCGACCCGGTGGGTTCTGAGTACTTGGAAGAGTCGTGTCTGAGACGAAAGGTATTCACTGCATATCAGAGGCAGGGAAGTATCGACGTACCGAGCAAATGGGAGTTCTGTGGTGGTCTGCATTCACTCGATTGCCATCATGTCAGACGGTGCAAGGACTAGGGTTTGACCCAACACACCAAGATATATACAGAGTCTGGTACATATGTAGACAGCAATGCACATAAACCCCGCCACAGCCTCGTCGCGGAGCACCCACTTAGCCAATGCAATGAATAACTCTTACCACAACTCCCACCCTGCTCGCTGGGCTCTCTCATATTGTACGACGGGCAAGAGGAGCTGGACAAACTCGTATGGACAAAAATGAGGAGGACTCTGATGCAGCGGTGAAACAATTGCAGCTCAAGGACACCTGCCGCAAGGTGGAAGAACTCGCAGAAGAAAAATTCGGAACATCAGCAGCCTCGATATCACCATTGATCCTCGGCGGTTTCAACATACTCTACAGAATACGCCTGTCTCAAACTACACCCGATATCATGGTTCGACTCCCATGCCCGAGTCTTGTTCAGTTCCCAGAAGAAAAGACGGCTCAAGAAGCTGCCACAGCCGCTCTTATTTCCCAAAACACAAAGCTTCCCGCCCCAAAAGTTCATTTCTACGGCCATGATTCTCCCGTCGGCCCGTATGTCATCCTATGTTGAGAATCGAGGCAGCATGTCAGCGAGGTTACCTAGACCGAGCTAAGATCCATCAGCGCCTCACGTGTTGGATCCGAACGTTGCGCCGTCTACCTTAGAAACTATCCGGTACCAAGTGGCTCATTGTCTTCTACAGCTTTCACGGCTCACCTTTCCTCGGATTGGCTCCGTCATTGAGGACGAGAAAGGCATTTATGAAGTTGCTCGCCGGCCAATTACCCATAATATGACGGACATGGTTCGCCTTGCCAACATTCCCCGCGCGATTCTCCCACCACGGCACAAGACATACGAGACTGCCGACGCATGGTATACGGCCTTGGCCGAGATGCACATTGGGCAACTCATATTTCAGCACAACGACGTCGTCAACTCAGAGGACGACTGTCGAAACAAGTATGTGGCTCGACAAATATTTCGCAGGCTAGCAAAACAAGGCAAGCTCTCTACCTTTGGTTTTCAACAAGACAGCTGGTCGGCTCAGTCATCCAAGATTCTACCCTCTACCTTGTGTCCCGCTCCTCCTGGCACACACTCTTTCCAACTTTGGGGCGATGATTTTCGAGCCGGCAACATTCTCCTGACTGAATCAGATGATATTGCCGCCCTTATTGACTGGGAATTCACCTACGCTGCGCCGACACAGTTCATTCTAGATCCGCCTTGGTGGCTCCTCATTGAAGCCGCCGAGATGTGGTCCGCTGGAATGGACGACTGGGTCAACACGTACGGCGTGCGTTTGAAGACTTGGCTGGTGGCGTTGGAAAAAGCAGAAGCAAACACAACAGAGTCGAGCCATTGGCCGCAGCCACTGTCCAGGTATATGCGGGAAAGCTGGGAGACGGGTCGCTTTTTCCTAAGCTACGCGGCCAGGAAGAGTTGGGCGTTTGACGCCATGTACTGGAAATTTCTGGACGAGCGATTCTTTGGCGCTCGTGGAGACGATATTGTAAAGAGTGGCTTGTGGAAAACAAGAGTCCACTTGCTAAATGACATGGAGAGGGAGGCTATGAAACCGTTTGTAGAGAGGAAGATGGAAGAAAGGCGTATTGTAGACTGGGATCCTAAAGAAGCGAAACAGCGATATTCCGAGCTTCTATTCGATTGAGAACAGATTAGATAGGCAGGTTTCTTGATTTACACCAGAACTTCTGATTGCATGCTACTCAAGCATCTATAACACATATCACGTCACCAAAGTCCAAAACACACTTGTCTAAAACCGAGACATTGTTCTTCTATATGGTAGCATGCTCTAATATGATGTGTTAAGATTCCGTACGTATACTGACTTTTCGAATACCAAAAAGCGAACTTGGCAGAAATAATGGTAGTTTATTTATTTTTTTATATTACGAACTACCAAGCATCACAACGCTACGGTCAGTATCCACAAGCCAAAAATGTGAAAAGCAACAGCAAATGGTAAACAGGTAAATTAACTCTCTAAATAATACCAGCGGTTCTGCATTTGCACACAGTGTGCCGGGAAAACTGCCACAGCAGAAAACCTGCACCGAACCCCGTCCCTTGTTGGCAAATACCATCTTCGCCTGTACCGTCACCCCGTCACCTTTTAGCCCCCAGTGACTAGCACGCTCTTACTGGCATGCTATTAATTCCAGTCCTATTGATCACTGTTAGTAGGCACATCCCACACGGTTCCCGCCATTCTGGTCGTTATACGTACCGGTATGAGCCCCTTGAAGTTGCAGAGCGGAGTGAGCAGCTTGGAGGATTGAGTGACGATCCCTCCGCGATTATACTTGCTAACGTTGTTATGAAGGCAGGCCCACATCCTGCATGCCGCTTCATTACCGCTGGTTGGGCTGTCAAAGGTCTTGATGAGGTCTCGAGTGCAGGTGCGCCAGTCTTCAACTTCCTGCCAACTCGGCTTAGGCGCGGTGTGCGGATCCCACTGTGGATGAGGTTAGTCGTGTTCATTTTCGGGACAGATGAGAAAGATTCAGCTCGCGTATCGGGTTGCTCAACGTACCGGCCAGGCGATAACGGGAAGGCAAACTGGGGTGATGATGTTGGAGAGGGCGGCGATGCCGCCGCCACGGTGGTACTTGTCGGCGTTTTTGTGAAGGCACTCCCAGAAAACGCACGAGGTCTTGTCTCCGGCGGCGCCGCGGTTGTAAGCGGATATCAAATCGTTGGTGCAGCCCTCCCAGTCTGCCTTCTCTTCCGGGGAGATAACCGAAGCAGCGCTGGCCGTTGCCAACAGAGCGGTCAGGAATCCAAAGACCTTCATGGCTGTTTGTTTTGTCACGAAGAAACAAAGGCTAGTGTTGGAATAGTAGGTATGAGTGTATATTGGCTTGATTCAAGGTTTGTCTTTGCCTGGAGAGGGATAAAAGAGAAGGACATGATGGGCTTTAAATACGTTTTCAAGGGCTCGAGCCTTCAGGTGAGCTTTCGTTTCTCACGCTTTCGGAGATGAAGCCGACGGCGAGAGAGCCGCCTCTGGCCGACGTCTCTTTGTGATGACTGTGGCATGAGTGTTTCTGACAGGGTGGCTTGCAGAAAGGCCTCGACGTCACGAAGCGTAGAACCCAATGGTCGGGCTCTTTCCGTTATTGTGTCATGTATGGCACGTATTCTGCATGCAGGTCTTGATGAATGCTAGATGACTCGTGCCGTCGTTTGGATGTGTTATCTCTCAATGGGAGACTCATTCTGCGTGATGGGTGAGGTGACGCCCTGCAGACCCTCCTTTGGAGTCCTTTCTCGATTCTCAATATCAAGGTCTTTGTAGCGTTCCAGTTCCTCTCGAACGATGCCGTAACCTGACTTCTCTTCAAATAATACAGCTTACAGCTAGTACTCGTTTAATAGATGAAGCCCCTTCGGAGAAGACTACAACAGTAGTTGGATGTTTGGTTAAAAGAGGACCTGCATGCCCCGTAAAAGCCCGAATGCCGCGCACTGCAGTAGGATGTAGTTGGGTATCTGTGGGTAAGGAAAACAACACATCTTGCTATAATATAAACTCGCCGTGATTGGCTCCTGGTGAGTGCAACCCTGATTCTTAGTATGACTCTGACATTATGCGTTCGATGTCCTGACTCGACAGGTGGTATGCATCCAGTGTCGCATGTACAAGAAGCAAAGTAACCAAGTTCGTGCATTCTTGAGGCTCGGGAAGACGTACAGTCTGGGGCAAAATATACTTACGTACTAAGCATACACCGATATATCATAACAGAGAGCCATAGCTAGATACCAGGTCTCGTCGAATACCTCTTACCTCCCCTTTTGCGGAGTAGAGAAAGGCTGTAGTCATGAAGTGGGTGCTCAACAGCTTGCTTTTCAGATGGGTTGCAAATGCCTTGCCAAGAAACTACTCAGCCAGCTCTTTTTTGCTCAAGCGAGTAGCCTACTGCAAACCTGATTCAATCCCGGCCTGGACGAATCGTCAAGCGGCCATTGTCACAAGTCAAAACTAACTTACAACGGGGGGTGGGAAGCCATTGCGATACAGCATTTTCCTTATTGGGGGGAAAGGTTTAAACATCGTTTTAAAAAAAGCCATTGCGGCTACGTCAATGCAGCACTGCATGTTACATCAACCGGTGCTACCTGGCCTTCATTTCCGTTTATGCAGGGTCATGACCTTGCTGCGTCATTTCATGACGGGGAGGGAAATAACTGGCCGTGCTCTGTGTAACATAAGCAGTCCAACCAACCATACCGTATTCGTTCTCGAGCAAACTAGCCAAGTCCTCTTCCACAAGCGCACGTCGTCAAAATATCTGCTACCACGTGTCTACTTATCCAGGGCGAGAGGAAGAGGTAATGGAGCGGGTACCTTTGCCAAGAAGCGGCGGTGATGTAGATTGATGCGGAGAGGCAATACCGGGAACGGAGTAGACTTATGTGTCTTGTCAGACTGTCATGCGCTCACACAGGCTAGGACCGCCCTGGCCTGTCGTTCAAGACAACTGGTCGGTCAGGCCTGGCTCATCTTCCACGGAGCCCAAGACGGGCCAAGCCGGTCAGGGGTCGCACCTACCCTATTTCCATTTACGGATTGCCAGTCCGTACTCCGTAATTGTCTCTAAATTGTCCCTGAGCGATACTGACTCGAGAGATTGGGTTGAAGTTGGTGATGTGGAGAAATACAAGCCGAGGGGGCAATGACGCAGACAATGACATGGTTACAAATTTGCTTGTGCAACTGTTGTTGGATCTCAACTGTTCCTTGATTTCTCGCCTTGCTCTTTAACGGTTTAGTTTCCATTTAATTATCGACGCGTCCCGCTGTATCATGCGGTCTTGATTGCAGAGAATTCTATATCTACACTTCACCAGCAATAGGAATAGAATAATAGATAATCATTCGCGGACTATAGAAATTCGAGATTTCCCTTCTTGTCGTTTTTTTTCATGTTTCTTCATTAGTTAGCTAGTGGATAGAATCCATGTATAACCACTCCTAGTATTGAAACTCTAGCAATTGAGATGAGCCATCTCTTTTCCAATGTCAGGGCCGCTTCGATTCAACAGATCTCGTAGATGACATTTAACATATGCTACCAAGTCTAAGTAAAGTATTTGAAGGTTATATAGGATAGTGTTTGCGCTGCAAAGCCGAAGCCGTAATGCCCAAGTTCCCCATCCACTATTGCATATAACCACGCAAATAACACTCGTCACATAACGTGAGAACCAAGGTCAATTTGGAAGTGAGGATCCCCAGATTTCGGATGGGCAGTTCCAATCCCGATCTGCGACAAGCTGGATCTGAGTTGCAAATCTGCCGGTGACACATGTATCCCGTCATTTGCGCCCGCATCATCTGCGTCATTCACCGTTTTCCATGATGTCATCCATAGCCATACGTCGCTACTTAAGAAACACGCACCCGCGCTCTAATGAAAGTAATAAGCCTCAATACTTTTCCATTATTGCCCAAAATCAATTTCATCATGTCATTCTCCAACACTTCTACCGGCGACAAGCCCGCCGACCCGTACACCAAGGCGAACAAGGAGGACCCCGATGTGCGCACCAAGGTTGTAGACCTGGGAAAGTTCATCACAAACTGCAAGTATGGCATGATGACTACGCGATCAGCCGGCTCCAGCCGCTTGGTCTCCCGCTGCATGGCCTTGGCGGGAACAGAGAACAACGGAGTCGACTTGATCTTCCACACCAACACCGAGTCGGGCAAGACGGACGACGTCGCCGGCGACCCGGACGTCAACATGGCTTTCCTCAATGCCACGGGCGAATGGGCCTCGGTCTCGGGCCACGCGTCCATCATTACCGACCGCGATGCCGTCAAGAAGTACTACAGCCCTACTCTCAAGGCGTGGCTCGGCGACTTGGGCGACGGGGTCCATGATGCGTCCGAAAATGATCCCCGGATTGGCATCGTCAAGGTGACGGCTGAGACTGCTACCTATGCTCTGTCGGGCAAGGGCCAGATTATGCAGGCCGTTGAAATTGCCCAGAGTGCATTGAGAGGCAAGCCTGCCGAGGTGAATAGTCTGAGACACATATCGGAAGAGGAATTCAAGGCGTGGCGGGTGCACCAAAGCTAGGAAACCGAATATATTCGCCGTCTATAGCCAATATGGAGTTTTTTCCACGTCGCAAACCGGACGTAAAAAATCGTTGGTACATGTATAGCTAATACGGCAATGTAGTTGTTATTGACAGGATAAGAGAACCTTTGGCTGATTGATGCCGTTAAGCGTGGTACTTATTAGATGGTGTCAGTCAGCTGAACAGAGCAACGTGCACGTTGAATGTCGTGCTGTTTACCAAATTTTCCTCATCACTTTGCCTAGGATGGTCTGTGAAAGGGCGTTTCAGACGTCTCCCCCAAACTACAACAAACACAATACAAACAATGCGTCGATGAGTATACTTATCTTACATAGCAAGACCCACCTACACATTACATACGATTAGAGTAACTCTAGTATCTAACTACCTTGTACTATTATTTACGTTCTTTGCGGTCATCTTGAACCTTCTTATAATTTTCCCGTTTTTTGAGATTTCTTAGCCTTTCCTTGTTAAAGATTTTCAATCCCTTTGAAACGAGTACCCAACGTGGTGACCTTGGCTCAGTTGCGTCAGCGCCATGACAAAAATGGATGAGACAGACATGCTTGGATAGTAGTAATTCGAAATGTTTATTTTGATTGAAAGTATTAGGCTCAAAGTGTGAATACTAAGAGTACCTGTCGCGGATTCAGATAGGCGTCTTCCATCCACCAATTGACCGGCTGGCCATCTTATGTCATTGGCAGTCAAAGTAAATTGTATATTCTGAGCTCTTCAGAGTTCCTTGTTAAAGAGTGATTGGAGCTCTGCCTTTAGTCATCTACTTTAGCTGCCACAGCTTGTTCAAAGCCCTCTTCCCACAATTTTGGGAGCTGCTTCAGGTCAAGAACCAGCGGCGAGTTTGGGAAGAATGTGATCCTCACACACGAATAGCCAGGCATTTCAAGACTTCACCCACGATTCCGCGGCAGAACGATGCAGAGGCCATCTCTGTGTAGGCGAAGATGATGCCTGACTGCAGTTTGAATCGAGTCCCCCTAATCCCACAATCTGTGTCTTAACTGCTCTGCAGCACATTGCGTTGGGCAGCAAGAGGAAATTTATTTGCGTCTTGAGCGGCTGATTCGAATAATCGAGGTCTGTTGTGGAATAAAATGTTCCGAGCCATGGCAAATACGGGATTGGTAGCAGCAAGAAAGGCACATCACGCCAAGCTTGATCCAAGTCCAGAAAAGGGGGAAACGTCTGGTCGGGTGGCCATCTCAGCTAATTGATGATGCTCCGTCCTTTTTAAATCAAGTCTGGTGGGAAAGTCTCTGAATGCAGTTTTTCCGTCATGATGTTACAAGGAAGGAACCACCGTGCAGGTGCCAAGATGCAGGTGCCAAAATCAAGATGCAAAGCAAGTGCCGAGGCGTTGCCAACGAACCAGCTGCGCATGTGCAGGGCCAACATTGAAACTTGCCACGTTCAAAACGTCAACATACTCGACACACTCTCGCGATCGGTATTAGACATTTTACAAATACAAGCCAGGTTTCCATGTTTGAATGCTCAAGAGGCTTTTTTGGCTATATATACGTCTCATTCGCCTACGATACCATCTCCCCGGACTCCCAATGCCACTATCCCACAAATCTTCGTGGCAGCATTGGGGGCGATAACGATCAGGTTCATCGCCTAATCCAGCAAGGCACCAATGTCCAGGCCGTCAATCCAAACACAAATGCAACGGCATTGCATGTAGCCAGCTCTCGGGAAGAGAACAACGCTCGTCTTGTAAAAATCCTTCCAGATGCCGGTGCTGATTCTTCCGTCGCCGACGTCAAGAACGAAACACCAATATTAGATGCAGTCAAATCCGGGAATGTCGAGGCCGTCAAATATTGATTGCTGCAGGCTCTGCTATACCTGTCAGAGGTTATAATGACAATACGCTTTTGCACTGGGCAGCTGGGGGAGGTCACCAAGACATCACAAAGCTTTTATTGGACGCAGGCTCAGATGCGAAGGTCGTTAATGCGGAGGGAGAAACAACCCTTTACTGCCGCGAGGCGAGGAGCCGGCTCTGCGATTCTAAAGCTCCTCCTGGAGGCGGGGGCGGACATCAAAGCGAGCACGAAAGCCGCGCAAACGCCTCTGCTAATCGCTGGAGGGTATGACGACATGGTCGAATACATGTTGCGGAAAGGCGCTGATGTAACCGCGCGTTCGGATGATGGCATGACTGCCCTACATATAGCGGTTAAAGATGGCGTCCGGGAACGGGTGTAGCTCATACCAGATACCAAAGCCAAGGATTGACGCCGTTGCACTTTGCCGCGCAAAAACAGGTCAGCGAAGATTTAATTCACTACTTCTCGATGCAGGGGCCAATGTCGATGCCACGACCAACCGCGGGGATACTGCTTGCACTATGCCGCTCAGCTCTATTCTGAAACGATCACCAAGATGCTCCTCGATGGAGCGGCTGACATGGAGAAGGCAAACGCCGGGGAGAGACACCGTTGCATCTTTCAGCACGTTCAGCATCCGTTGGTCCGCTTGGTGCATGGCTTGAGGCCGGAGCAAGCCCCCACGCTCTTGACAAGCATGGCTTGACTCCACGAGATGATGCAATAAGGGGCAAAGACGAATACTATCAACGTCAACGTAACGAGTGGGATGAGGTAGGGCTGCGGAGCGAGGATTTCAGTGATCAACAGTGGGCTCAAATTCACGAGTGTGCGTCCGTGTGGGACGAGGCAGTAAACAAACTGCAGACATTTTAAGCTCAGTGAGGAGGTACGAACAGGCTATCATTAATGAAATAAAGTGAGCCCTCCGACTTGACGCTTCGCCCTCGCCTCGTTCCGGAACCGGAACCACTTTTCCCGCCCGGCCGTGAGCCGTCTTGTACAGAGACATCGGTGATTATGTGTGCGGTCATCGGGGCACTGACTGGACTTGAACGTGTTCACAGTACATCTAGTGAAGAAACTCCGATAGAACGACGCAAAATTGTTCCGCGACTACCGCCCAGTACCATATAGATATTTATGGACATATCATTTTTGGCCAAGGAAAAATGCCTTGTGAGTTTCCCATGTACTGTGTAATCGTTTTCTTCCTTCGTCAGTTCAGTTTATGCATATGGATAAGGCGTGCTTGGCGTTTTAACAGAGTCGACGTTTCTACGCTCTCCTGGCGAATAGCCTTCATGGGAACACATAGGCGAGAGGATGAGGACTTAAAAAAGATAGTTTCAGATCATATCTACAAACATACATAAAATCAACTAGACAGAGTAACAAACTCATAAATAATGAGACCTGTAATCTATAGTAGAAGATATTTATCCAAAAAAAACCTATACGCTAATATATTACAACATACAGCGCGATAGCTACATACTTAATCTAGTCAAGTATTTTCCGCTCCCACTCTATTTCCTGTAAATGAGGAGCCTAAGAGCTGCCGCCTCATATGCGACCTGTACTAAACCAACTATCGCTCAGAATCTCGCTTGCAGGCGCTCTCCTTCTCGGCTCGAAATACAAAAGCTTTGCAATGAGCCGGCCGAGGACCCTGATGTCCTCCATTGTCAAGTCACTTTTCCGCTCATTGTCCAAATACATGTCCTCACACCAGCTTTGTAGTGATGACCCAGCTGTTTTCGTCTCAGCGCCGGTATTGATTAAACCTCTCCAGCGCTCAGGTAGCTCGTCACTTGCCGTTTCCTCCATCTGTCTCACCAAGACCTCCGGCGTGCTGGGAGGCCCATCAAAAGGAGGTTGGCCAACAAAAAGCTCGAAAAGCTGGGACAGTCGTCAGCAGTTGATCCACAAAGTTGCAATGACACAGTGTCCAACCAACCATGCAGCCCATACTCCATAAATCAACGCGAAAATCTAACGGATCGCTGCTGAACAAGACTTCCGGTGGACGGACTGCTAGCGGGGTACGGAGAGTCCCGGGGGCGAACGCGGGAAGAAAAGACTGGCCAAAGTCGACAGTTTCAATACCTCTCAAGGGATTCAAAGGCATCCCTGAATATGCGGCCGACTGGACAATGTACTGTGGCACGCCGGGTTCAAGAGTTTGGCCGCCTATGTTAGGGCCCACATGGTCACGTGTGAGGCACCAGGTTATTGTTGCTACGCTGCTACCCTTTAGCTAGCTCTTCTTCTTCTTCTTCTATATAATTAACTTCTTTACTTCTTTTAGCTCTCTTATAATATAACTTATTAATTATATTATAAGCTCTTATAACCTTATTATAGCTCCCTTTTATAAGCTTTTATATAATAGTAATTATATTTACTTACTCTCTTAGTTAAAATACTAAAATTTTAGTATTATAAGGCCTCTTAATCCTAGAGAAAAAACATTATTAACTCTATTAAAATCCATTAAATTTTATTTTTAAATTAAGCTAATCTCGTTTATACCCTTTAAGTTATTAAGAGAATTCTCCCTAATACCTACGCTATTAGCACTTTATAGTTTAAGACCTTAAAGCCTTAATCGTTTTTTAGATTAAGGAATTTCTTAGTTACTTAGGTAAACTAAGAAATAAAGATATATTACCCTTTAAAATTATAAATAAAG